ATATAATTTATATAAATATATAAATTATATAAATTATATATAAACCAATTGGAAATGCGACCTTACGAGCCTATTCTTGTCCACGGATGGAAGTGGTATAAAAAAGTCGTTACACGTAATCTTTAACGGAAAAAAACTTTTTTTTCTGTTAATCGAAAATATAAGTAATTTCTTGCTGTGTTTATATATATATACATATATTTTCGATTAACGGAAAGAAAAAGTTTCTTTCCGTTAAAGATTACGTGTCGAAAACGACTTTTTCATATTACTTCCATCCGTGAACAAGAATAGGCTCGTAAGGTCGCATTTCCAATTGGTTTATATATAATTTATATATATATAAACAGCAAGAAATTACTTATATTTTCGATTCGGACACTATATTCCTAGATAACATTTCTTGCATGCGTTAAGTATGTAAATTTTGGATGTGATTTGCCTGAATTTTGTTTGTGAATATATTCATCGTGCGCACGCGTGCATATTGCGCACAAGAAATAAATACCAACACAAATAACGCGCAAATTGCTAACATATTGCAAGTTATTTACTCTTCATTTGACAGTGTATTACATACTTAGGATAAATGAGTTGTTTTTGTGTGTGATGACTGGATATTCACGTACAAAATGCTGTCTAGATTTACTAGTTATATGCTGTTCATATGACGACGTACTGAGATATGATTTTGCTCGCAAAATGTTATCTGGGTTATAGCATTATAGTACTGAGAACTCTGGTTTATCAACCTTCATCCAAATATTTATGAAAATATCAAGAAATATAAGTATATGCAAAGATAAAAACTTAATTTTTGTAAACTGTTTCTATTGCTTATGCATTCGCAAAGTGAAAATCTATTCTGTGAATATAAATCAAGGTTTTTACAAGTAATGAACAAAGTAAGAAACAAAGAGCAAAATAAAACGCAGAACATGAAAAATTTATGCAGAAACGCACTATTTTCTATACATATATATATCTTGCGTAAATTAATACTTGCTATATATTGGATCATTACATATATATCAAGTATAAAATTTGATATATGTAATAGAAGCATTCAGACAGCGCATGTCTCTGTAAAAGACGACTTAAAAACATCTTAGACACATTTTGTCTTAGATATATATCTAATAGATTATGGTAAACAAGTTTTTCAAGAATTAAGGATTCTTAATTATATAGTGTTCCAATTAATTTTAATTATAATTGTAACATTTTACAACATTTATTGTAGCAATACATTTTGTCGCACAGTTTTTAATAGTATTAAAAACTATGCGTCAACAACCGCTCGTGAACGTGACTACGCACTTGTTATAGTGCAATGTCATGGACGATAACGCGAAAGTAAGGCGAAAAAGTTAAAACAGAAGAGAGAAGAAAGAACGAGTGCTACCGTGCCACTCTTCTTCTCTCTGATATGAACATATAGTGTGTGTATATATATATATATATATATATAATGTAAGTACAAAAAATGTAAACAACGCGAAAGATCTTGTGCTTTCTATGTGATAATATGTGATAATATAATTTATATGTAACAACTATGTGATGATATATATGTTTTGTTGTAATATGTTGTAAAATATTATGTAATAATAAAAATAAATTGAAATAATATATAATTAAGAATCCTTAATTCTTGAAAAACTTTTGTATTTAAAAATATATGTTTTGTTTGTATTTAAAATATATGTACTGTATGTTCGTGTGTATATATATGTATATGTGGAGACTACAGCCACCACATATATTATCGACTGACGGCCGGCCGCTACGTGGCGCACGGCCGTAAGCCGTAGCATGGTAGTGAAAAGTGCGGCGTCGTCAATATAATAGCGACGCCAAACCGTATTACCACGATCCGAAAGATTCCGGACAGCGGAGAAGGACCAAACAGCAGGACTACTAGCACCGGCAGACGACAAGGAGGTCAGGATCAACCCCGAGAAGGTTCCTACGACTTCTCCGGCCAAGACTCCTAGGTCACCGTCTCTATAGTCGGAAGTGCAGGTCCTCATTCCCCGGTTACCTTGGCAAGTCGTCGGGATTCCAGCATCCGCTACATCACCAAGGCATCGCTACGAAGTGCCACCTTGAGACCTTCTATCACGCATCTCGTCGATCAGGTCTCCGAGACGATCTACGGCGCACGTTACTACGTAGGCGCTACCCCCACTCCGTGTGCACAGAGGGAACCAGGTCTCGCTCCCCGCTCCTCGGCCACAATATAAAGAGCAGGAAACGCAGAGCGACCTAGCAGTGATTGGGAGACACCTCCACGAAGAACAAGGGCCGTCCAGACAGATATCACCGGCGAGATTCGCAGCAGAGATCACGGATCTACAGAGAAACAACACCACAGATCCCGCAGCCGACAACGCTCACCACGGTGATCAAACAGCCCACCGGGAGTACGTCGGAGCAGAAAGGACCATAACCATAACCGCTGCCATCGCAGGCTCTCCAGGAAACGACTTGACTACATAACACTAAACGGTTCTTGTCAGAACCTTACTGTATATAGAATGTAAATAGTTGGAAGAAAATATATATCTTTTTGGATACCAGAAAGAGCGTAATCGCTACTAGCGCTCCCGGTCTATCCACAGTCTCGGCTGCTTACCTCTCGCTGCTGTTTTCCTTAGCTGCTGTACGAGTACGCCCAAAATATATATATATAGGGTGTCCCAGAATTGCCGTACAATCTCTCGTAGGCAGATAGAAGGAATAAAACTGAGTCGAAAAGTCCTGAACCATTTTTTTCTATTATTTATAATAAAAGAGTAATTATTGAGAGTAAATCAGGCCAATCAGCGCCGATCTTTAACCAGGCGCACGTCAGTGAGCCACGCGTCTGGTGTGTGTGTGTGAGCACTCCGCGCAGTTCACTGACGTGCGCCTGGTTAAAGATCGGCGCTGATTGGCCTGATTTACTCAATAATTACTCTTTTATTATAAATAATAGAAAAAAATGGTTCAGGACTTTTCGACTCAGTTTTATTCCTTCTACCTACCTACGAGAGATTGTACGGCAATTCTGGGACACCCTGTATATATATATATATGTGTTTTCCAGCTACGTACAGTCGACACTGTGTAACACAATGTCCACATAAAAATACTTTTCTTATTATTATTAAATATAATTTAAAGAACATTTTTACAACGCGAACAAATTATTTGTTAATATATGCTGATANTTGAATAAACAAAGTGTTTTTTAATGGATTTTTGATCACTGAAAACGAATCTGGTGGCAAAATTGACCTACCATGTCAAATTTTCGAGAAAATTAAGGTTAAATGTATAATATACTGTCTATTAACGTGAGAAAGAGCATATCAGTGTGTCTCATTCACCAGTGTGATTCGTTTTCAGTAATCAAAAATCCATTAAAAAACACTTTGTTTATTCAAGTATCAGCATATATTAACAAATAATTTATTCGCGTTGTAAAAATGTTCTTTAAATTATATTTAATAATAAAAAGAAAAGTATTTTTATTCATTGTTGCAGGTACAGACGGCGTCATTAATTCGAAGAATAGGCGCGGTAATCGGAGGGCAAGCGGGGCGGTTGCTCGTAGCGCCAACGGACGCCGTACTAACTAACTAGTAGCAATCGGGTGTCCACAACTGGACACCCGATTTTGGGACTAATGGATATTTGGATCAACTGGACTTTTTATGTGATCCCCGCGCCTATTCTTCGAATTAATGACGCCGTCTGTACATTGCATTGCAACATTTTTAGTAAAATAATAATTTAAATAAATAATAAATAAAATGTAGGATAGAGCTTGAGAATAAGTAGATAAAAATAATTATATGTTAGTAAGGAACACGAATGGTCTCGCGGACTGAATGCAGGGACTGCGAATATGGAGATCTCGAGTTCAAATCCCGCTATCACATTAGCATTTTTTCAGGTTCGGTCTCTTTCAACGAAGTTCATCGGTTGATCAGCAAGCTGAATCAGGTCTCCATAAATTAATTCGAGTGAAATCCCCCTTCCGACAAGGCGAGATTATACCATTGTTTTCTTTTTTTTTTTTAGTAAGTAATTCCACTTGGATTCTAGGCAACAGATCTGATCTGCGTTTAGTAACAATCTGTCGGCGCTTCTGACGACAGATTTGGTTTGTATTTGCTACTGTTTTGTTGACAGTTCTGATAACAAATATGATGTGTATTTGGCGCGATTTTGGCGCCAACAGACAATGACCAAATCTGTTCTGGATTTGGTACGTCACTTTGGCTTTGCTTTGCTAGTGGCAGACCTGTTATGATTTTGGTCTCATTTTGACATCTCACATGTTTGACAGATATGGTCGCCAAACCATATCCTAACGAGGACACAGATGGATATGGATTTGGTCTACAAATTTCGTCGGCGGTTGGCGACAAAACCGCGACATATATATATATATCAGAGAGAAGAAGAGTAGCTATGATCGCACTCGTCCTCTCTTCTCTTTTCTGTTGTCGCTTTTTTGCCTTACTTCCGCATTATTGTTCGTGACATTGCGCGTTAATAAAAAGATATAATACGCGTTATCGGCTTCGGTTCTTCGAAGCGTGCTAGATGCATCTTCAAACGTCAGTACATATGCGCAAAACGAAACTATTGCGTTCGCGTACATTGTTAATTGTGAATAATATAAAAAAACACGAGGTAAAAGCAACTTGAGAAACAACATAGTCAGCGGAAGAGAATTATGTGCGCAGCCATAAAAATAAGTATTTATTACGTGTATAATTTAAGAATTACAAATACGTTTCAACTACAACGACAATAACGGATAGAAAAACACACTTTCTTAAACGAGATTATAGAAGATTAAAATATACAAGTTGTTTTTAGAGAATCACAGCCAAGATTTGCAAAGTTATTTTCTGTTTCGACAGTTGTACAGCGGTAGTTCTCTGTATATAGTCTTCTCTTATGTATTATGTATGTGTGTGTGTGTATGTATATAAATAAAACAAAAATATATATACTATTCCCTATAATGGGACTAAAATTCATTCAGCGATAAAGATAATGAAAAAAGTTTAGTTTACCTACGTACGCTGTGCGCGTAAAGATATTGCAGAGTGTATAAAGATACGATAAGACGATTGCAAAATCAAACACTAGTGTGATTACACGGTGTGATTATCCTTTTTTTTTTTTTGTTTAAATGCGTATCTATCTACCGCTACGTCTCTCGGTAGGACAGTCCAACAATTCTAATAAGTGAATACTTGCGATGTAAGATTGCGATTTGATAAAAAAGTTTTTAAACGCGATGAGAGCCGACGATACACGCTTTTTATTAATATCTAATAAATTTCCGCCATAAGTAGTACGACCAGGGAAGTCCAGCCGGTGAAAGGATGGCTTCCTCTGCCTTCCCCGTCGGAGTCGTCGTAATGTTCCCACAGATATCCAGATATTTTGTACTGCTTGATAATGTTCTGTATCAAATTTTTTCGCAACTCCTCGTACACTCTTTTCGCACTCTCCTGATACGGACCTTTCGCGTTTGAATAATGATGCGCCGCGCGTACCGTTAAATAATTTAAATTTATCCAGATAGGTCCGCGCCAATAAGGCGCGTCGTGCTCGGTATTATATTTCATGTACAACGGCGATGTTTTTGCGAGCGAGCGTAGTCCGTACTTGGTCCACAGTAGACTGGGATCCCGCAGATCCTGTAATATATCCTCCAATTGCGGCGAATCGGGATCGACGATTTGCAAGATGAAAGGGAACAACGACACGTATCCGAAAGTCGTGTCGATGAACTTCAAGGATGGCGCTTCCGTTACGATGCGAATCATTTCCGCGGGTTGAGATCGTGATTGTTTGGCGGATAACGGTGGCGGAGGTTTTTGCAGAACCACCTTGTCGGTGTGCATACCGTAATCGGAATATACCTGCCTGTTCGGCGACCAGTGCAGTTTGTTTAGCAAGTTATTGTCGGATAAATAACGAAACGTATCGTCGTATTTGCTGACCGAGTAGTGCAGCAAGTTGGAAATTCTGTCCATGACACGAGCGGCGAATGCGATCCAGCAACGCAGATCGACATGACGTTCGGCAACAGTCGGATGGGAAGCTCTGGGATAGTCGTCCAAGCCGGATGTAAGCGTCTTTGGGTTCAATTCTCTCACAGCAGCCGGGTCTCTGCCTCGCCATCTGTAAGTACCGGGTAGTCGGCCGACCTGCGTGATGTTGAACCACGCGAACCACGCTTCCAATCGCGGATACAGTTTCTCGAGCAACGGAAGATATCTCAGCAATTCTTCTTCCTTGTGCTGGAGCATAAAATCTAGCGTCAAGAAGAACGTCGGCGGATTAGCGTTCGTATTGAACTGAGTCACGAACTCTTCTGGCACCTTGGCCAACGCCTCTTCGCCCAGTATCATCTCTCTGGGGATCCAGCCCTCGACGTTTATCAAATCGAACCAGTGATTCATAATGTCCAATTCGATTTCCAAGTCCCAAATGGAGATGAGTAAACCGTGGAAACCTTCGTCCCACAGGAAACCGCGCGGGAAGAAGCTTCTGCTAGGTACAGCGGTGTACAAAGGCGCTTTCCAGTAAGGCACGGGCTTCTCCGTGTGCGTACTTTGCACTCTCGAAGTTCCGTAAAAGTAGCCTATCGAACCTATGAGATTCGAAAACGCCGCCTTCGCAAAGGCCACTTCGTCGTCCTTGTATCCCTTGGATTTCAGATTGAAAACGCTTTCGAATTTCTTCGAGAACAGCTGCCTCTGTGTCTCGAGAGCCTCGTCGTAATCCTTGCCCGTCAGTTTGCCTATTCTGTTGGTAAAACTGCCGGATTCGTAACTGACCTCGATCTCGAACGGAACTTTTCCCGTCACCTGAGTAACAATAAAGTTCGGATTCATTTTCTTGCCTTCGGTCGACAAGACTAGTTGCTCGCCCGCTAAAACTATGTGCTTTTTGGTGGATCCTTTCTGAGCGGTTACGCGAAGATTATGCAACACCGTTTCTTTCAATACGTTCCAACTGGGAGCGGTTGTCGCTAGAAAGGAATGTTCCTCCAAACTGCCATTTATTAAATTTAAATTTATGGCAAACGATCCCAATCCCTGTGTGTTTCCTTCTATTCCTGTTAAACGATCGTAGTTTCCTAGATTAGCCTTTATCCAACCTTTTGTATCTTCCGTAATAGCGGTGTAAAATAGTAACGATACTTCTTCGTCGTTCTGTTGCTTCGCCGACGATACTGCAATTCTCGCGGTCCAGTCGCCACCGTAGTAACCACCGGGCTTCTTCACAAATGTTGTTCTTATGACCACAGACCTATCCACTATTTCCTGAACACCGAACGTTCGTCCGTCATGCTCGAGCCACGAGTATCTGACATGTAATTTTCTATTAGTAATGTTGACAAGATATATTGCGTTGAGCGCTCAAGTTGATACAATTCAAACTACCTGTCGAGTTTGTCACCTTGCTCGCACCAGTGTCTAAATCCACTGCCGTCGTTGCGCAAGAGGTGCGGAAAGTACCACATCAAGCCAGTGACCAAAGAATAAGGATCTCTCGTTTTCATACCAAAATATACACCAGGTCTGTAAGTGCCCCAATATCTATCCTGAGCGTTCAAGCCTGATATGGCAACTAGCTGGTTTTCAAATAAAATTTTAATTGACACGTTACAAATCTGTAGATATTGTATAACACACTTGACTATTACAAATAAGAATATTTGCAAAATTATATTTCTGCAACGTGATATATCTTACATGCCTTTTCTGAACTGTACGGAGTATGTACTCTCGTCTCGAGATACCCTTTGTATCCAAACCAAGTAGCGCCGGCAGTACATATAGCGAATATAATATAATTAGTAAGTGTAGCGTAGACTTTCTCCTCTTTGGATAAATGTCCAGACCCGCTTTTGGATTTTGTCTTATTGTTGGTAGATTTCTCTTGATTTTTGTTCTTCGCCATTTCGCTGAAACAGATATTGTTTCTGATTTTTTTTTACTTCGGAAAAAGGTTTTGTTTTTCTTTTGTTTTTGTCAAATTGTTGAGAGATGGAAGAGCAAACCTTGTTGAGGTAAAAATACGATACGAAACAAAATAAGGTCTGTTAAAAATTGTTAAGACTTTCTTTTCTTTTTCTCTGACATAAACCCATATGGTACGTGTCAACTTAGGTTAGGTTAGGTTATATCTCTTCTCAATTATTTTCTTTTACGCAACTTACGATAAATCTCACAATAAAAGTCACACGAGCGACAAATATGTGTTAAGTAGTACGTATCACAGCCGTGATTGTTGATTTCCTTGCGGTTGATAACCAAATTTGTTTTCTTTATTGAGCATAAGAACCGATACGATTTTCCGTACAAGCTACATGCATTTCTATTATCCCGCCATTGACCGTAATGATCAAAGTAGATCGAGCACTATCGCACAGTATAATAATTTTTATCTAAATGTTTTACCAAATATATGTTATGTAACCGTTTTCACATTTAATAAATAAGTGTTTTTTTTTGTAGTGAAAAATTTTAAGATGATACTAAAATTCACTAAATTTGTATCACCATTTTATGGCGCGCTCGCACGTAACTTATAATTTTTAAAATTTAAATAGATATTTTGTCTAATATACATATATATATGTACATATTATATATATATATATATACATATTGTATACATATACTCAGATAGCCAAATGATAGCAGTATGCCAGTAGTATGCACGCAGGTTTAATCAGCACTTCGCAGCAGATTTCACTCAGCTGTGTACTCATATGAGTGAATTGTGTAGGCACGATATGCAAGGAAAGCAACACAGCGAAAATATAGAAATAAATAAAGACAAGAGCACGTTATGCAAATTTGCTACATTTATTTCAGCAAATTTTGCTTGATTGATGCAATAATATTTGCATCATGGCATGACATATTTATATTCTTTTTTCTACTTGTCTAGTTGAAATAACAGATTATGGTTGAATGTTGACTGCAGTCTACTGGCATAATGTGTTATTGCAGACTTTGCAAAACATGCTCATTTAGTCTTGGTTATCCTGGTAGGTATGAACATACGTAGATACATCTCACTTGAACTATAGGGATTCAACACTCGTTCGGCAAAGTTAATTTTATTTATTTTGTATTTATTTGTTAAGTCAATTTTGTTTACAGTATTTATCGTTCGCGAGATTGTGTTTCTCTACTTAAGTATTTAAATGTCAAGAAAAACTTCGGTTTACAAATAACAAATCGTTTTGCGATTGAAATTTGAGTATTTTTTGTTATTACAAGATATAGCAACATGCAGTAGAAGCGGGCGAACAACACGCCCATGTCGAGTTTACATAAATTTACGAGTGCTTAGCTTACGTGCCGTTTTTGCTTCTTTTTGCGTATATCCTTAAATGAGCCGTTAAAAACCTTGTTATTAAAACAATTGCGTTATATACAATATATCAGCGAGATGTCACTCTTTTTAGAGATACGTATTACAAAAACCAAATGTTCCTTTTAAAATCACTGGTTGTGTGATTATCTCGTTTTCGCGCGTTCGTATATTATTTATATTTTATTTTATGTGTGTTTATATATATATATATATATATCGTGTGTGTATATATATATATATGTACACACACACACACACACATATATCATATTATATATTCAATAAGCCTTAATTTTGCAGCACACATTTACACACCGACTTTTCAATGATGTATGATGTAAGTCAATGTGAGGTATATAAGTTTTTTCTTACATATTGTTTCTTATCTAAATACATTACTTTTTTTCTCTCGCCAGAGAATACAGACGATTTTCGCTTTTCGTTCTCTGTTTCTCTCTCTCCCTCTCTTTCTTTGCAGAATAGCAGATTTTTGTTATCTATTACAATGTTATCTTTTACACACACACACACACACATACACACACACACACACACATATATATATATATATATATGTGTATATATATATATATATATATAAAAGACACTAATTACTGTCAGAGGGAGAGAAAGGATGTGTATGTTTCGTGAAAATTAAGAAAAGCAGAGAATTTAAATTAGGTCCGTAAATATCGTTGTTGCGTAAAAGGCATAAGATAATGTGTTTGTAACCGAAGACAGAAAACATTTCTTACAAAAAACAAACGGCAAAAGTACAAACCTTAAGTACAAATTAACTTTTTTCTCTATTTACACAAAAACGTCACGATGGTAATTAGAAGAGATCATATATGTCGTGTGTTTTGTTCTAAAGCTATGATTTTTCTATTATTACATATATGCATATGTATATATACACGTATACATATGTACACATATATGTAGGGGAGAGGATAACATATCTTATTATTCCCTACAACAGACATCATCTTTAATACAAAGTAAAACCAGAAGTACGCGCATGTGCGCGCTTTAATTTATTTCTAAAAATATTCGTTTGTTTTCCACTATATATCATTTTTATAATTATAATTATTGCTCAACTCGACAGCCAAAGTTGTACCGGTTATATAGATAAAGAAATTACAAGTCAATAGTTATATTTTCAGTGTATACGACCATAAATTGATTTCGATATACTCTTCGACATAATTTAAATAGCGCTAATTTTTCTTCTCCGTGCGCGATAATCTGATTACCGATATAACGATTGTTCTGCATATATGTATAGTGTATATATATATGTGTGTATATATATATATATATATATATATATGTATATGTGTGTATATACACAAATCCTTTTGCGTATTAAATAATATAACGTGTGTGTGTGTTGTGTACTCTTTATTATAATAAATACTGAATTATACCTTAGAGAGAGCAATCCTATATGTGAGAGTTTTCTTTCGTATGTAAAATATTTTCTGAGATAAATTGAATAATAAAACGAATACACATAACGTTACTTTACGTAACATAACTTAAAGTCAAAATAAACATATGGCATCATATAATGTGTAAAAGATATTCTTTTTATAATTAATCCAAAAATATATAAATCTGCAATTACTATAGTAATAGGATAGTAATAGGATAATGTGTACAACTATATTTACTGTACTCTCTTAATGAGCTAGTAACTAACAATTCGATTGATACTTTATTTGCGGATTGCATAAAGTATTCAGGAAACAAACGTAAAATGCCCGCAAATAAAGTGTTAGATACTGTTTTCGCGTAATTTTTCTCTGTTCGTGACCAATAATGCAGCGTGAAAATTATAGTGTAATTTTTTAAAACATCGTGTTTTTTGGTGTTGTTGTCAGTTTGATCGGACATAACGATCAGTTTTCCGCATTGACTTCAAACAAAAATATATATTGCAGAGTTTTTGAATATACTACAACAATACTACAACGATACAAATATGTTCCTATCATCAACGAAAAACGCGACAGGCAACATAAGAAACGTCGATAAAATCTATCGGCGATATTTTCAATAGCTTCTCTTCGTTGAGATCCTTCTCTCTTTCTTACATCTCTATTAAATATTTATAAATACAACTTTGATATACCACATTTTTTCTAAACTGCGTGGAACTTTAAATAAACTATCTATATTTATTCATAATGATTCATTTGCGCAAAATGAAATATCTGTATATGTATATATCTACGCAAGCATCTATATATACGTATACACATATATGTTCTCTCTCTCTCTCTCTCTCTCTCTCTCTCATATATGTATATAAATGTGCGTGAATCAATTGGTGGTAATTTTGTGTTATCTCTTACTGTTGCAAATTATGGCTACGTATCTAAAACGCAATATTTAACGTTAACTAAAACAGTGTAACCATCTCATAATGTTCTAGAGTTTAAATATATAACACTGTATTTATTATATATATAACAAAAATTTCACGATTTTTAAAATAACACTAGTAACCCTGCGCGCAAGCGGATACCACCAAGTCACTTTGAAACTTGTGATTGTTTGAAAAAATGGGGATTGTGTATTCGCTTCACTTGAACAAGAGGACTTCTTTCTGGGAAAGATTAGTAGATTCCAAACATAGTTTTGGTAATAAACATTTGTATATATGATTATATACTAAATTAATGCCATTAAACACAAACAATTTATGTTTGTTCTCAAATGCACCAATATGTATAAAAGTTTCTTCTAAGACGTACGTAGAAATATACGTAAAGAATGAACTTTGATGTAAATATTATTGCTTCTGTAATTGTCGCGAGTGAGATTCATGTCATCCACTGTCGCAGGATTTAGAAATGAAATAATAAAATAGCGCGTTCTCTCTCTTTTTCTCTCACATACACACATTTTCACTCTTTAACATTTTCTCTCCTTCTTTTCTTTAAAGCTACGGTAACATTTTCATATATCACGTGTTGTATCATCGTGTTTACTACGTATCTAAATTTTGACGTACTTTCCTAATAGTGTTTTTGTAAATATTTCGCTACAATGTGTTTTTTTTTTTTTTTTTGTTTTTTACAAGTAATGCATCTTTTGTCGTAAACATGAATAATTAAATAAAAGAAAAAAAGGAATACCTAATATTCTTATATACGCTGTCTTTCTCTGGGATAATTTATGTACGAGTCGATTGAATACGCGCGAATCAATAAGAGGAACGTGTACGTGAGTAAATTATATCGAAAGTGCGCAATAGTCTTGCGGTAGAGGTGCGTAAAACATATTGTAAACAATAATGAACATTACTGAACATGTATAATTGTAAGACATTTTGTAGGGTTGTACTCTTTTAGAAAAGGAATTTATATTGTACAAGCAAAATGTGTGTACGATTTGATTAATATCTACACATGCCTGTTTCTATCTTTCTCTCTTTCTTGATTGTTCACATCGAACTACATCGAAGAGCAAAGAAAGTGAGGAAAAGGGACAAATATAAGAATTCCACACGTTTTTTACTTGCGTTTGATAAATAATAGAATAGATACAACAACAAATAATGCACTTGTAACAATTTATATCGGCGGCCAGCGCTCATAGCATTAAAATCTCGTGAGAAAAACAAATTTGTAACAATCTGTTTTTCTCTTCTCTCTTTTTTCGCAAACTTGTTAACTCTGATGATCACTTTTTTAACTTTAGAGACTCATCGATATACCGTTGTTTGGTATGTATTACGCGTACGTATTTTAAATTGACCTCAACGCAAATGAACAGACGAATCAGCACATTTGTATTTAGCACGTCTGCGAGAATGCGCGCAAAAATCATTCTTTCTGTTTCGCGGTTTAACCAAAGTTAAATTTCCACGCAACGTCGCTTGAAGAAACAAATGTCGAGATCAGTGTTGCCGTGGAAGGTGCCACAGCGTGACGTCACGCAATAGAGAGGTAGAGAGGTCCTTCTACGGCAACGCTGGTCGAGTGATATTCTTTTATTTTATCGTTTCTTCGATAGATAATTAGTTTCGCTTAGTTGTTTTGTTATTCTATAGGTCTTGTTGTAACTTTTACTTTTAACCATCGAACACAATTACCTGACATAAGACGTGATCGGATTGCGTTTCTCAGAGACGTGCCGCAGATATTAATTTGCAAGCGGCAAAAGCAGCTTACAAATTGATATTAATGTGCTGGTTGGACTGGCCAGTTGCGTTGATTACGGTTCATTTTCGCAGACTGTCTTTGCTACTTGCACGGCTGGTCGAAGCTGTGCTGGATTCACCTGGCCCGCCAGTGCCACCCGTATCTCCGTTGATACTGGAACCGGCGAGCGAAGCAGTGGGCGTCACCGGCGCCGAGCGCCTCCTCACTTTTGTTAAAGCCTTATCCAACCTTTGTATGAACGCATCCACGTCGGATCTCTTCATGCCAAGTGCCGCCGCAGCGGTCAGATACGGAACTCTATAATTGCTATTATGCGCGCCCCAACCTGCACCACCAGTCGTTTAATTATATTGCGAACTTGACGTTAATTTTACAAATAAAGAAGATAATAAAGAAATACGCAAATCTATAATATAAAAAAAACTTGAAATATATGTGAATAATTTTTACCGTACTTAAAAATATTATTATAGATTCTACTTTTTATACTTTGTACACGTTGAAGTATGTACCTTCAAATTTATGTGAAACAATGTGCTTGGAATCCGTAGTCGTTATTACCCTAGTACCGCTAACGTTACGCAGAAACAGCATCGATCCTAGCATAGTGACTTGCTTGTTGTCGTGCTGGTGACTGAGACATTGAAGAGTCATAGCCATGGATATCGGATTGCCCTTGGTGTCCAACAGCCTCTCGCCGTGTCTCGTTGCTAGTTTTCCCAATTCGTCCTTGAGATAAGAATACATCTCCTTACGTTGAGCAATCAATTGTTTGTATCCTGCCATTCCGAGACTTAACAGAGTTATCATCACGTCCATGACGGAGCTCGCGCTCGCGCGTCCCGGATACATTTTCGATATGCGATCCAACAGATTCTTGTCGAAGGAGCCGATAATGGCGCCGCCCACGGGAACCAAGAAATTCTTGTCTGTGCTCTGAACGAAGGCGTCGACGCGACCCTTTCTCGACGCCTCTTGTATGAGATGCATACATCTTGTGCTCTGCAAGCTTCCAGCGGAGAAAGAGTATGTAGCGCAATATACTGAATAAAATCATTTTCACTCGAAATACACTTTGAAACTAAAACAGCCAATATACGGAAACCTGTGTGTGGTATCTCGAGCGGAAATATTCTCGTTCGAACCAAAGAATAATATTGGTTGTTTCAGTATCAAAGATACAGATTGAACTCAATATTCTTTACATTTACCCATATGCATTATTCACCAAATGTGGTATATTATATTGGGTGCAGAGAGCCGCGATAGCGTCCACAGAGTCGCACGCTCTCGGTGCGAAGCAACTGGTCGTTGTGAGCACGCATGCGACACTCTCCCCTAAAGCCGCCATTTGAGCTTCGAGTCTTTGCAGATCGGTTTTCAATTCGTCCCCTATTATCTGCATCTCGATAACGATAGGTTCCAGTCCAGCCGTGATTATGGATTTGAAACTAGACTTTTGGTCGATTCTAGGCCATAAAACATATTTTGCTCGTGGTCTGTCCTGCTTGAGTGTAAGCATGCATAGAACTAGGCTCATTCCCGTGGCCATTGGAGATAAAAAGCAGCCTGCTATGCTTTTCACTCCTACAACGAGAGAACATATTGAGAGTTACGTATCTAATGTGTAAAATTTATTTAACGTTGTTTTTTCCAAGTTAAATATATTTTTTTTATCCCCTCTCTGCGCTTACCCATGTATCGTATAACTTCCAGTACTAGAGAATTTGTTAATTTATACATCAAACTGCTACCAGCAGCTTTTGGTTGTACTTCTTCTAGATCGCCGGATCTACCTATGCCATGTCCCATGCGAAAGTGTCGTCTCGCGACTATGTTCGACACGATTCTCGCCTCGCGTTCACCGACACTACAATTTGATGGGAAGTTATTGCTGTCCATTTGCGACAGATCCGACAGAAACGCTTCTATCGTCGCGTCATCCCAACCTTCTTCCGGCCATTTTCGCTGTAAACATAAGTATGTAATTTGTAATTTCTATTCTATGTATAGATACATGTTTTCACACTACATGACTTACGTGTTCGATAAAGTGCCGTATAAGATTCTCACGAGACTTTTTAGCGTTTAGACCTTGTTGTACGTAGGTCGAAGGTATAAGCCTTTCCGCCAAGCTAAACGCTTGATTATTCATGTTTTTAACTTGGTTTTCTCAATTATAGTCCACAAATATTATCGATCGCTTAGTAGATATCTTCACACCATCACTTTGATAATTAATATGTAAAATATTACAAATTATGTCGTCTTTTACAATTACATAATTTTTATGTATATAAGCAAAGACTAAGTATAAATAATATACTTATTTTAATTATTAATGTTAATAGGATGGATCATATACGTGAGAAAATAATGCTTCGCGTGACAGAACAGAAGTAGATGTGCGTGAATACGACGTTGCTTCCTGGTGTAGGTACATACCCAGATAGCAACTGAATGTAAGTTGTTGGCAACTTACCACAAATATTGCTCATAAATTTTCAGCAATGTAACAAAAGGTGTATCCTCTTTTCAGTATGTTCTTGCCAGCAACAGTTTTCAAAATATAATAACAGCAAGTTCCCAACAACTCATCGGCAATAAACTTATATTATTTTTCTCAACTTACGAATAAAAATCATTGCTCACATATTGCTGACTCACTTGTCATAAACATTGGCTACAACAAATGATTGACAATAAAACTCAGCATATTGATACTGAATTGTCAAAAACATTTTTGTTGCATCAAATGAAAACAACACAACAGCGAACAACTTTATCTATACAATGATTTGCTTTATATTGAGTTTTCACATTTGACTATCTGGGTACTTACGGAATCTGTGCGTAAAATTGATATTCAACGGAAAGTGGGAAAAGGTTCGCATGTGTACAAAAGTAGTATATGAAATAAAAATACAAATTTGTTGCATGAGAAACGAAATTTATTAAACATCTCAAAACTTATAAGAATCGAAAGCGGATCGTCCTCGAAACACAATATCTCGAAAAAGAGCCATTTACAAATAACATAAATTAAACAATTATAGTAAAACAAGCCAAAGAAAATATAAAATTATATTATTGTTATTATATTATTGTGAGATGAAAAAATAAAATGATTTTACATTAGAAATCCAGTGCGAGACATAAAAGAGAATAAGCTGTGTGTGTAATGCGTATTTTGTTTTTTTACTGTATTGTTTGAAGCTGCCTCTCTTGTGAAGTGAAAAAATCGGGAAAAAACAATAGGATCTCCAGTTGAGTCGATACGAGAGTAAAACCGCAAACGAAAAAAGCAAATATCGCCTATCGTCGTTACAACGTAAAGGTTATGTCTTTGCGATTGTAACGAAAAATTCGTCGAATCGCGCAAAAATTCCGGCTCGTCCGAGCTCGAAGCGACAAGAGACGCGCGCGCGAAATCCACGACACGGTCAGGAACTCGCGCTTCCGCTGACGGGGGAATGCGCCTCTCTCGGAAGGAGATATAATCACCGCGGATACATGGTTCGAAGACCTCTCGGATCGTCCTCACCGAAGAGCAGTACACAAGTCAAAAGTGGGCTGGGCCGCGCAACGCGAGCGTCTCTCCGCGTCGACTACTACGCGAGCACTAAAACACGGCGCCCCGACGCATCTCGTTCGCACACTCGCGATGCATCGCACACAACTTCCGGATATAACGCGAGTTATCACGAGTTTTCCCGGAAGCGATTCGGAGTGACGCGCTCGATCCCACTAAAGAGATGTATATATGTATATATATATAGAGCGTTGTGTAGGAACACTCGTTATATATCACGCAGCGACGGCCACGGATGGATGAAGGTTATGTTGCGCGAGGTCACCTCTAAATCGGATTAATTTTACGCAATGAGATTCGCGAGCGCGGACTGCTGCGACGTAAATTGTCCGCACGCGTTCTTCACGGGCGACGGTCACGTCCGCCGCCGCCGTCGTGATTTTCCCGCACCACGGCTTAATCGTCGCCGGCGACGACAAAGAGCGAACGACGATGAGCAGCGCGTGGTGGAGGCTCACGAGGACTGCTTGTCACGGGCTTTTACCTCCTTCTCCTTTCGCTCCTGTCGTCGCTGTTCTGTGGATCCGACAACGGACCGACGACGGATCGCACACGGCGCTACGGACGTACTCGTCGTCCGCCGCTGCTGCCGTCGGCAACACCGTCGACGGCACCGATTTTACGAGTCGAGACAACTCGCGTGTTATCCGCGCTTCAACTATTCGACAGGTGCATCACGTATTTTTATTTAATTGCGTTATGTCAACTAGCCCCTCTTACTCCTTGCCTGCAGGAGATTAGGTGCATTTACCATCAAACTCCTAACGAGTTCTTCGTACCTATGTCTATATACGCACTTGGATTAGTTTTAGAAAGCTTGAGTACTTACCTCGGTTTTAGTATTTCTTTTTATTTTAAATTGAATTTTTTTTGTACTCTATTTTTTTCTTAATCATTTAATGAGATTTGCATTTGAAATGGTGTATATATATATATTGATATAATTATATTTAAGTAATATATCGATTCCACATCGATTCACATACGTATAAATCGGCGACCTTTTGCTTACTTCGAAGAGATCGCTACATAGATATGTTCTCACGTATAACAAAATGTAACATAAAACCTAATACATTCGATATGTATTAATATATGTGATTTAGAGAATCAATTTGCTAAAATACACTCGTTCTCATAATTAACTGATTACGATGCATCTCCATTTTGTCCGAGAATTTAAAAAAAAAAACAGCTTATTCTTGCATGCAAGACATAGCGCCAATCAGCAATGTCGTCACAGTAAAGAACGTATCGCATCGAACGCCCACGTGATTACAAATGCGCTCCGTGACAGGTTGAGAATCCTTAATCGCGATTGATCATTTCGCTTAGAAGAGCGAAGTGTTTTTTTTTTACACCTTTCAATTGCATATTTGTAGTATAATTCTTTCTGCATATATGCGCATGAATCAGCTAATCGGTGATAGAAAGGCGATAGAAAGAAGAATCGCTGTTGTAGCGGTGAACACTGCGCAATGTCAAAAGACCTTGTACACAAAGATCCGCGTCTGTCTAGCTGACGACAGTTGGCACACCTGCGACCGAGGTTGCCGCAGTTTAGCGAGTTCACCTCTCTCATTGTCAGTGCGCGGTGAACTTACATTGTGCGAAGTGATCAGAAGCGACGGTACGAAGTTCTCAGATGACAGCTTGCGGCATCGCTTTCGCGAGTGGGAGCCGGCACATTTTTCACGACACTCGTCGTAAAATCGACGAGAAAGACGCGCGCGAATAAGGTACGAAAAAAAAACATGTGGGCGTCGCGGTAGTATTACACACTGACAATTTTGGCGTGAAGTGTGCGCGATAACGAACACTTGACTTTCTCTCTCTTTCTCTCTCTCTCTTTTTTTCTTTCTCTGTTTCGCTTCTCGCGTGAACAATAATACACTCGAGTAGAGATATTGTTAGTTTTAGAGAATCAATTAAACGGAATTTCCGTTATCTTCGATACGCAAGAAAAAACAGCGAGATATAATATTCTCGCACTTGTGTCGGTGTGTCATGTTACGTGCGCTCATGTAGTACATATTGGCAAAAAGCGCACAGTTGTCGTTCTATCAAAGCGATAGTTTCCATATTCTTTCCCTATAATCTAAATTTAGTAATGTAATTTTCTCTCTCTTCTCTAATAAAAAGAAGTTTGACATTAGCGCTTTCTTGGACAATCTATTTTATTGATCGAAGTCTTTGATCTATTTTCATTCATTTTTTTTTAAATATATATAANTATATATATATATATATATATATATATATCAGTAATATATGCACACGAAAGACACCATCTCAGTATCTTACTAAACTAAAAAGTGAAAAAAATATTTATTGGTTGTAAATGTTGCATTTGCAGCTAATTATGGAGCTCGAGAACTGTAATGCCCACGGAGACCAAGAAATCATGGCGCCTAACACACCGCAACACGAGAATGATCCGAGCGGTAATAAAAAGTGGTACCGACAAGCCAGCCAAAGGTTAGTACGACTGATTATATTTATACGCACACATCTTGTTATCTGTCCATATAATCAGTCCATATACACTTTTGTATCTCAAATTGTATAATCAAGCATTTTTGGAAATGCATATGTGCTGACATAAGTACTAACAAAGAATTCGAATAAGAGTCTGTGCAACGCAAGGGTCGATGCGATTGTGTCGAAATAACAAATGAGTATATTTTTATTACACAAATTTAACCCAGGAGTAGTCACCCGTGGTGTTTTTTACATCTCAGCGTCGGAAAAATGAAGCTCACGTCACAGCAGTTTTTTTTTACAGATCGGGAATCCACACTTATCTTTCAATCAAACTTTTCGAGACATAATCTGCACAATAGAAAGTGTTTATGTCTTAAGGACCTTCTACAATGAGAGATATTAGTAATAAATCAGAAGCAAGAAATTGACCAATCACAGTCAAATCACAGAAAAATAATCGATTGTGATTAGTCAATTTCTTGCTTCTGACTTCTGATTTATTACTAATATATTATTGTAGAAGGCCCTTTACACATTGATAGTACGAAGCTATTGAAACTTGCTGAGATGTAGAAAACACCCCAGGTCACTGTTTGTGTAACTACACAAGTTCGAATATGATAAGAGTATAAAGTATAAATATGAAATAATAATATGAGTTAGTTAAAAATAACATAAGATGACGTTATGAATATTTATATTAGAATAAATAAGTAAATAATAATATATATAGGTATAACAATTTATATAAAATAAGAAAACTAACTATTGAAGAAAAACAGATATGTAAAGATTTAAAAAATAACAAATAATAAATTGTTTTAAATTTTATACAAAACAAACTTTTGAGGATGAATCAATTATTCCTGTATAAGAAACATATGCAATATATTTGTTCAACCTGTATAGAAGAGAATTCTAACGAATAAATTATTTGCTAAACTCTAGTAGAAGCTAACACCTATACAGCTCTCTGTAACTTAAAAAAAATTTTTTAATTTTTTAAATTATTTTTGTTTTGTTACTTTTTAATGTATAAAGTTTATCTTAGAAAATCTGTCATAATAAGCTTCGTAATGTCCTTTTTTCGTTTGTTTTTTATTTTCTTGATTTCTTTTTACTTTTTTCAAAAAATATTAATTAAATCTATATCTATAATGTTTTTACTTCTTAATAAATTATAGGACAATCAATAATTTACAATATGTGATGAATAACAATGACTTTTAACTGGGGTGTAAAAAACACCTCAGGTGACCGTTTACACAAAAAAATGGGGTGACTACTCCCGGGTTAATGGGTAAAAATCAATTTCTACGCGTTTATGCATGTACATAGATTTTTTCTTATTTTCATGAGGCGATGATTCATGTTTAATTATTGATTGAAGACTTGCAAAAATTGAACAATGTAGAAATTACTAAATCTTGAAATTTGTAATCGAAATAGCGCAGACGATCATATGTGTGCGTGTGTTAAATAACCATTTATATCGAAAAAGATGTTAAACATATAGACATACACATTTGGTTTTTACGGCCAGTTTGTCAATATTTATGGATCAGTTTTGCCATTTCCGATATACTTAATCAGCTGATTATTACGTTGGAATTGGTTAATTGCAGCGGTCGATTAGTCGAATTGACCAATCACAGCGGACCAACTTAATCGAAATTGTCAAAAATGGCCTTCGGTCGTTTTCCTACTCGGCTGTTTCTCCCCAAAGACGGCGTAATGGACAACATTTACAACTTTGCAGGCAGAAGCCTATTTTTGACTTCGTTTCTTCTTTAAACGACTCGAAGGAAGGCCATTCTCGCCTCGTCTTTCTCGTCTACAAGTTCCGGAGAAAAAAATCGCGGGAGACGCATCACATAAGCCGTGTGATTATTCTTCGTCGCTATCATCACGCGAATGACCCCTAAGGTTTACCCAACGCGTTCTTATCGCTCTGCTTGGCTTTCGTCAACGCGGGAGTTGTTTATTCACGATCAGCGCTCGAAAGTTGTTCAACTCCGGTCATTGTGACGCTACCGCTCGTGCGGATCAGAATCGCGGAAGTTGCAATTCTCACGATTCAAATTTTGTACTTATTATTTTGCTCGCATCGTCAGTTTGCGCAATGAATCATCGAATCGTCGACGTGGTGATCACACCAGCGGATAAAATTGTTGGTAATTATTTTTTTCCTTTTCTTTTAAATGTAATTCGCGGATTTTCTTAAAGATGTTCAGAAATTTAAAATTTCTTTTGAATTACGAGCTTACTGTACCGAAATTTTCGGATTCTTCAATTGTAACGAAAACGCATCGATGCCGCAGGGTCGCGAGTGCGATTCCCGGATAATTTGAACGTATTCTCCGAAGAATCGCTTCATCGCGCTATGTTCGGTCTTGATGTAGACCAACTGACCAGGAACGATCGTAGCGAACAAGACTTAGACAGCTTCAACGAAGGTATCCACGGCATCCGCACCGATAAGCGCGAACTGGGACACAGGTAAAAAACTCAAGGCGTTTCCTTTGGACTCTCGTCACTGTGATTAATACATAATTAAAGTTGCTTCGAATCGCGTATAAGACGTTGTATGTCGCGCGCAAACTTTATTCCAAATATAGAATCTAGCCGGATTCAGTGACATTGAGAGTTTTGAAGCTAATTATATTTTGTCTCGTGTTGTTGCTTCGAGGATAAAATGTTGCCTTTTTATCATCGACATGTGTCACAAAAAATTACAGCTCATAATTGCTTCTTGTTGTTACGTGTTCAATTATTTTTATGACAACGTGTGACAGAAAATGCAACTGGCAATAGTAAGTTTTGTATTTTTGAGAGATAACGATAACTTTTGTGTATGCTTGTGCATCTCTACATATATTTTTGTTCTCGATTTTTGTTATTTGATTTGCCATATATTTCTGCCCGATTATACCTCGAATGAGAGTTTTAGTTTTCTTGCGCGGAGGAAGATTCTCGGGTGTCGCAGTATCGATTTTTCATCAGGAAAATATAAAGATATATAAACTAGCGTCCTTTTTTTGCTGCAGCAAATCGCGACGCCCGTAAGAATTGAGACACATCGATCATTCGATCGTATGCTATTATCGGAATTTGCGATTTAAAGTATATCAAACTCATAAATTTTATTTATTAATATAGTAATTAAGATTTATTTATTAATATAATAACACAAATACTGCGAAATATTCGTATTAATTAGATTTCTTAAATGATTATTCTATTTGCGCACACATATATATGTATATATGTATATATATATATATATACATTGTCTGCGCTATTTTCATCATAAGAAATAGTAAGAGTAAGAGTATAGTAAGTATATGTGTATAGATGTGTGTGTATATATGTATACTATGTGTGTATGTATATATGTATAAAGAGAGATATACACACAAATGATCGAACAATGTGTTAATGCGTCGTTTTTACTGCCGTTAAGCATATTTATCTTAATCTGCTGAACTAAGAACTGCTAAGATGTCTTTTCTGAGTCAATCACGATAAAGCGACTAAAAATTTCCAATGCCGAGCCGCGTAAACAAGTTTCTTCACTAAGCAGATAACAGCGAGGACAATTGACATCTTACAATTAGTACAATAATCTAATCACACAAAAGATTTGTACATTATTGAAAAAGATTTTTATTGTTAAACTTTTTTTTATTTGTTTTCAGAAAGGATCTCTTGCATAAAGTTCTTTTTTTATCAAACACAAAGTATGAGTATATTTCTAAAACATTTCTTGCTTCTTAAAAAGCGTATATATATATATATTCTACTTTATATAATTATATATTCATAATTATCCGAGAACTAACTTACGAGGCAACGACCAGGTGATGCAATGATCACGACTTATTTCGAGTCATCAGAGGACAGTTGTGGCAAGAAGTTTTTACCTTTATAACGCACATATAATTTATTTGTGTGTGTGTGTGTGTATATAAACGCAGAAACGCGATATGGATCTGCGACGTAGATACAGTGAATATAAAATGATCGGTGAAAGTATAAACGATGCGTAATTTAGCTGCGCGTCTCGTACAGGAATGCACGCATCCTCTTGTATTCTTTGACTGATTTTGGACTTAACATTTGCATATCAAAACGTGACAGTCAAAAAGTGTTCGCGCAAAAAACAATCAAGTCCGCTCTACGGGATTACAAATACGTGAGACACGTCGAAATGTCTCTCGATATTTTAAAACTAACAGATAGAGCAAGAATTGCAAGAGAGGGAGAAGAGAAAGTGGATCAGAAAAACTGTAAGGACGAGAATGTAATCGGATTCATTCTGATAATATGAGCAAGATTTTAAAGCAGTTGCATTTAATCTTTGTGCTAATGTGTTATAACACATTGTGATGATATATACGTTACACTTTGTTGTATTTCTTTTTCGGTTTATCTTGCGAGAGAGAGAGAGAGAGAGAGAGCCTTATGTTGTGCAAATATCAAGACACGTTTGTCGTTGTATCACAACAGGCAGCAGGCGCGATTGTTCGTTTTTTTCAAGTTCACACACGCGTTCAGCATTAAAATTGTGTAAAGCAGGATTATAAACATGATTAAAGACTTTCTAACGCGATATTTGCGGCACTTTGCAACAAAGTCGACAAAATATCTTCGGTTTACAATATCTTTCGATTGCGCTCGTTTTATTTTGATTGAGGAAGCTCGCATGTACGTACGTATATTTTAACCGGAGCTTTATCCAACTTAAAGTCCATTCGCAATATATAGATTGTAGGATCGAAATCTCTAATATTAGACTAGATACCGAGTTTTCGCGTGTATATCGAATCCAAGGTGATATATAACTCACGAATATTCTGGCGATAATTTTTTTTAACACGAATGCGTGTAAGCGTATACCTACGGTTGATTATATACTGTGTCGGTGGAATTTGCTTAAGCTTCGCGCGATGCTGAATTGAGAGAGATTTGTATCCGGAAGACGAATTAGCTCTCTCGTCGTTGTGGCCGAGTACTAATCGACTCTCCGACGACTCACTGCGCACCAGTTGACGTTTGATCATTGAGCGGATAGCACTGCGATCGTACTTAGTATGTATAGTTGTCGTCGCTTTTCCCGACAAAGACAGAAAAAGACCTTTCACACGCTCGCTCGCTATGAGGTGTAACAATTCCATCGCTCGTGCCAATCCAAAAAAATTGTGAGAAAGCAAGCACCTTACAATACAAAAATAAGTCGAAATTTTGTGTATTTTTATTCCAGCATTATTGATAATCGGACAAAGAACACTTTGTCGTTGCGACACGGTCTTATTCGCTGTAATTTTCACACGCTGCAAGTTTCATTTCAGACGTATGAACAGGAATTTCTTTTTAGATATATAAAATTATTTCAAATTCCACGAGTGATATTCTTAGCGATTTAGCACTGCTTAATTACCTTAATACATTAGTGTGCTGTTGCCGAATAACAAGAACGTGAATCGATCGCAGGATACCCGGTGATTAGTTGATTATCCGCGAAATATGTGGCTGAAGGATACAAACGGCGCCTCGCCGATTGCAAATTTTGTGAACTCGCGACTGTGCGCCCAGAACGAGTAAGTTACTGGTATTCTTTTCTGCATTTTTTTATTCGTATGAAAAATTTACCATTTAATTTAATTAAATTTTTCGACACTTACGTTTTAAAAAATAATTGAGAAAAAAAGAATTTATCATAAAATTAAGAACAGGATATTAATCGTTTGAAGTGCCGATCGTGCATCGTAAGAAAATTCTCAACGAATGCCTATCGAATTTGTTTTTCTTTTGTAACATTGTTCGAAAAAGGAAAAACAAGCGGAATACGTATAGTGTCATTTGATATTGCAAACGTTTTCATTACACAACCTAACACACGTCAAGCTCGATAAATATTATTATTCGCAGCTTTAATAGATGTTAATATCAATAACAAAATGATTAATAACACCGATATTGTGAATTTAGAGAAAGAATTAGAGAGACTTTCGTTTTTGTATCAGCAGGAAGATGTTGAAACGAACGAGCCGCTCGTCGCTATGGCGCGGCATATCGTCGTTAGTAGGTCTCGTCTAATGTTTTTTATTAATATTAAAGTACAATGTTCGAACGATGAGTCGTGACATCTGTAAATATTAATGTTTGATCGAGTTGCAACCGTTTTCTTGATCAACAAAGTATTCTTTCAGAATCTTCGTCAATCGAAGTCTTCATTTGGAGAACATCAAGTTCTATGGTTTCGACATGGATTACACATTGGCAGGTGATTTTAATAAATAACATATTTTCTTGTTTCAAAGAGAATAATGTATGAATGAACTTAAACTTAATTATATTGTAACAATTTTAGAATATAAGTCGCCGCAGTATGAGCAATTGGGTTTTAATCTGCTCAAGGATCGTCTGGTATCTCTGGGATATCCACAGGAAATCAAGGCTTTTGAATACGATCCTAGTTTTCCCGTTCGTGGTTTATGGTTTGATACTTTATACGGAAATCTCCTAAAAGTTGATGCCTATGGGAATATTTTAGTGTGTGTGCATGGCTTCGAATTTTTGAAACAGTAAGGCAAAACTTTTGTGCTTGTGGTTTTTTTTTGCACAATTTGTTCGTTTTTTTTATCTGTTCCATTTTGTCTCAGTTCTCAGGTTTACGAGCTTTATCCGAACAAGTTTCTACAATTAGATGAGTCTAGAGTTTACGTGCTTAATACTCTATTTAATCTACCAGAGACTTATCTGCTGGCGTGCCTGATAGACTTTTTCACAAATTCGCCGCAATATACGCGAGATAAAACTGGAGTGAAAGAAGGTGAGCTCACGATGAGCTTTAAAAGCATATTTCAGGATGTCAGAAACGCAGTAGATTGGATACACTTACACGGTGATCTGAAGTCAAAGACTATCGAGAACTTAAACGAATATGTAAAGAAGGACGAGAGGTTGCCTATGTTTCTTACAAGAATCCGAGAGAGCGGAGCGAGAGTGTTTTTATTAACTAACAGTGATTACGTTTTCACGGATAAAATTATGACTTATTTGTTTGATTTCCCACATGGTGCACGGGTACGTTTTTCTCATTTTTTTATTGTCACATCTTCTTTAAAACAATTACTTCGAAAGCTAGTGTTTAGCGAAATGTTTACCATGTTTTTGAAAAGTGAATAGCTTAAGAAGTTATTCGATATTAAATTTAGAAATTATTTATGCCATAACATTCTAATGAAATCTTTTGTATAAACTATATATATGTGTTTGTGTGTATAATATTATACACACACGCAATCATATATAATTTTGTACAATAAAATTTCATATAAGATTAACGCCACAATAATGTTTCAAAAACACTACGTACTCACACAAGATATTAAATGTAACTAAATCTCTTGTTCTGCGTTTCAGCCTGATGAGCCGCACAGAAATTGGAAAACGTATTTTGACACGATTGTGGTGGACGCTAGGAAACCGTTGTTCTTTGGGGAAGGAACAATTCTGCGACAAGTAGATACGAAAACGGGCGCTTTAAAACTTGGCACTCACAAAGGACCTCTGCACACGGGTAATGCAAAAGAAAATATTTACAGAAAAACTTTACTCGGACAGAATTTTACTACGCAATTATTTATTTCGTTGAAACAGGTGAAGTATACTCGGGCGGTTCGTGCGATGTGTTTACGGAACTAATCGGCGCGAAAGGAAAAGATGTGTTATACGTCGGCGATCACATATTCGGTGATATCTTAAAAAGCAAGAAAATAAGAGGCTGGAGAACATTTTTAATAGTGCCTGAATTAGTTCAGGAATTACACGTTTGGACCGACAAATGTCAATTGTTCGCCGAACTACAAAGACTGGATGTCATGCTCGGCGAAATGTACAAGTGAGTAGTATCGACGAAATACAATCAAGGAACAAGTGTGTATGTATTGTAGACATTTTTCTGATTTAAATTTCTTCATTTAGAAATTTAGACAGTAGTACAAAAGAAAAGCCGGATATCTCCAAGCTGCGCACGGCCATAAGAGATGTTACGCACAAAATGGATTTGGCTTACGGAATGATGGGCTCCCTGTTTCGCAGCGGAAGTAGACAAACGTTTTTCAGCAGCCAAGTCGTAAGATACGCTGACTTGTACGCAGCGACTTTCCTCAATCTGATATACTATCCATTCTCATATATGTTTAGAGCACCCGCTATGCTGGTAAGTTATTTACATATCTTCTCTTGTACTGATTTGTTTTTTTCCAACCCGCATACATAAAACAGTCTCGATAGAATTTGTTTACTTTTAGATGCCTCACGAGAGTACGGTAGCTCATGAACAGAGGTTTGTTATGGAAACCCCGATGATAAGCCGCTCTAGAACGTTTAAATTGACAGACGAAGATGAAGAGCACAACCGACCGTCTTCTGTGAGTAAGAATATCTTCGTCGCGAGACAAGGAATATTGATTGATGTAGGAGTGTTTGAGTGATACATTCTTAAAGAAATTACTTTTTTTTGTTTAGAAGAATTTGTACGTGGATCATTTTAACAACCAAATTCCGCATCCGAGACCGGAAACGCCCCGTAACGTCACGCATACGCACGACGAAGATTGCAGCGACGAGGACAGCGATTCACAAAAGCAAGCCAATCAAGTGAGAGTAAGAAACGCAAATTCTAATTAAAATAATATGTAGAAGATAAAATAAATGTAATTGAAGTTTTAAACAAAATAAAATACAAGTATAACACATACAAAATTACGAAAGATGTAATTACGAGAGAGATAAAATTTGAAGATAAATAAACAGCTCATTAGCGATAACAAAGTATCAAACGTGAGAGATTAAAGTCGACATTGGCTTGTGCGCACCGATGTTGCGGAAAAAAATATCCTCTTCTTTTAAATCGGATATCTGGTAATTTATTGTCATTTTTCTAAATTGCTAATAAGACGACCATTTTTGGTTCCGTCCACTGAAGAAAGTGTGACGTGAAAGTTTCGATGTAAGAGGATGATCGTACAAAGAAAGAAAAAAAAGGAAATGTGGTTATTTTTCATTTTGAAAGAAAATATTTCCGTCTTGAAAACAAAATTTGATTTATAACTTCAGAGAGAATAATTTCATAATATATTTAGTTATTACTTTTTGTATATAGTTGGAACACTATATAATAAGTAGCGCACAAATGCTCGTTATTGCGAAACGAATTACTCTCAACTCATGCCATCGTGAATCAAAAAATAATATACTGCATACAGTGTGTTCAACAATAAAGTGACTGTGATAATCTAAAAAATATAAAAATGTAGACTAAGTTTTGTTTCTTTTTTTTGTTTTTTGTTTTTTTTTATTGAAGTATACATTATTAGCTATTGCACAATTATCTAATAATGTGTCCAATCACCTCCATTACTGATTATTGCTTGACATCTTTTTTTTTATACTTTCGACGAGCTTTTCTGCATATTCGTTTGGCAAAGATGGCCATATCTTCTTTATTTGAAATGACAGCTGCTTCACCGTGTATACAGGCTTTCCTTTGAGTTTCATCTTCATGTACGACATGAAGCATTTCTGGTAGATGGTGCACATTTTTTCCGCATTTAAATTGTTTGTAAACAGAAAGAGGCAACCAAAACCGTGTTTAGAGAAGCATCCCCGAACATGCACTTTTACAGGGTGTTTTACTGTGCGCTGAAGCACCCTATTATTCTTCGTTGTCCACGCTCTCGACAAAAAAAGACCATGCCCAGAAAGAAGACTCGTCCGTAAAGATACCATTATCCCAATCTCGATTCAAATTTTCCTTTGCCCACGCCAATCGTCTTTCCACGTGCTTTTCCGATAATAAAGGTTTCTTCAAAGTTGATCGGAAAGACACGTTTTTTTCACGCAGACGACTTCGAGTCGTATTTAGGGAGACGTTAACACCTTTCGTACGAAGTTTTATTTAAGCACAGCTCAGCGAAATGCCTGGTTTATTTTGAAAAGACACAAGATCGCTTTGTCCTCTTTCATTGTTGCGCGAGATAATCCCCTCTCCGGCAGATCATCTACATTCGCAACTTCCAAATATCGCTGTACTCATTTCTTGACGAATGCCTCCGACTTCCGTATATATTTTGCAGCCGTCAGTTTTGGTCCTTTCTCATGATTCACTAAAAACACTACCTCGTGTCGCTTCAGAAATTTTGTACTCATTGTAAAGGTAATAAATTTGCTGACAAAATTACGCAATGTGCCGGTAAGCTATACTATACTGCAAAAAAACGCGAAATAAAGGTTTAAACGAATTTAGAAAGATGTTGCTGCAGTGGCTCCTTGAAGAATGACGAGCGTCACTTTCTTGTTGAACACACTGTATGTTGAATATCAATTTTTCATGTTTATTACTAGGTACCAATAAATTAGATAGAATATTAAAGTACAGTGAAATTTGAAATAGAATATAAAAAAAAATATCGTCAATATTGAAATTTATTATAAGACTAAGAATGTTAGTTTGTTTACGTGCGTTTTTAACTAGTTAAAGTTGCCGAAACATTGATCGAGGAAATGATATGACAAACCCCGTGCGAATAAATTGTGCAATTTAGACTAGAGAGCAGAACATAATATGTACTCTTATAGGATTGTATACTTTAATGAATTTGTCACATAAATAGTCAATATATATGCTAGAATTAGGACAAGATTGAAAAGATACGAACATATTTGTAATATAGAAATTATTAGAATCTTATGCCGCGTGAGAAGCTAAGACAATATTCACTTTTGTATACGACATAAACTAGTATAGAAAAATACAATAAAAGAGAGACGAAAAATGAATATTGATGATAGTATTGTGAACTATTTGTTCAACTTAATTCAAACAAAATGACAGTGTACTTTACATATTTACGAGTGAAAGTTTGAAAAAAACTTCTCTGACGAAATGTTATCTTGTAATCTTTTCTCTTTGCCCTATTGTATAAACTATAATATCCATACACAAATATACAAAGTATTGTGTAAGTGTTACAGAATTCCCACATTATATTATTTATAGTTTATTGAAATATATAGTTTTTCTTTTTTAAATAAATTAAGCGATAATATGTATGTATATTCTCTAAAAAAAATATATTATCTAAAAAATAAGCTACATTTGTTGCAAAGGCATACACAAATGTGTGTATATGCATATAAAATAATTCCTCTCATCTTTTTTCAAATTTGGTTCATACTTTTGATATAGATAATAGAACAATTTTAATATATTCATACATGTGAGAGATACATATAAGTAAAATTTCTCTAAGCATTTTTTTATTTACAACAAAACGTAAGCATATAAATATATTATCAAGAAACCTCAAATACTTTCACATAAGTAGATCTGCTAAGTATTCTTCAAATTCTTTTTCTCTTGTCTTTTCCACGTCTTCTATTGGTTTTTCTTTCCAGATATTCGATTCGTCTGTATCAGTATTTTCTGTGGCCTGTGTTGGAGTAGAATCTGTTTCCGCTTCAATATTCGATTCTAAACGACTACATGCGGTAGAAGCGTCGTCCTTGCTTTCATGATTTGTGTCTAAACGTTTCAAAGCCTTTTTCTTTTTCACTTCACGCTTTTGCGAACCATAATTAAGCTTTATTGAACATTCTGGACAGAGTCCTTAAAAAAATAAGTTCTGTGTAAACAGAAGTCTAAAACAGTTTAGTTTTTTGTTTTCCATAATTGTATAACATACTTAATTTTACTAGAGCGTTCTTTTTTTCACCATGTTCCACATAGCCAAAATTAAGCTCCCAAGAACGCAAGTTCTCTTTCTCTTTGCATGTTTTACTACCACACTCAAACTGTCCTTTTCCAATTATTACTTCCTTCTCAGTTCTCCATCTCAGAGCAACCTATAAACATTGAACAAATAGCGTTATAAAGTTTGTGGAAAAAAAGAATATTCTATATGTGTATACCTTATTATATTTATAATAAGTCAGGTCACAAATGCAGTATTCCTTGAACAATTTGTCATAGTATTTCTTAGCTAACTTTGCGCCCCAGGTGTCCGGAATGTCCTCTTGATTCCAGAGAAACTTGTGATTCTCTCTGATGACGTCATAATCAGTTTTGTCTCGGGACCTCGAAACAGGCCGAAACGTCAAAAGCTGCTTACAAAGTTTATGTAGTTATATTTTTATTTTAACATTACAATTATTTCGCACAATAGTACGTATATTTCAACCAGAATTATATGTTCTCTTAAAACATAATAAAGATTTCTCCTTTTTCACTATGCTGTTGTAAATAAATAAACAGATAAAAAACTATTTTCAAAGAACCGCTTTTTTCAAGAAAAAAATCTTATCTCTTACGTGTATAACCCCTGTAATAAAAATGTAATCTACACAAACGATCTTTAACTTACGTGTCACGCTGAAAAGACGATACAGACTTTCCATAAATAGTCAAATAATCATTTACGAGTTTCTTGTGTCTGTCGTAAGCTGACAAATGTGCATATTCCGAAAACATCTTTGTCCGCAGTTTTTTCACATTCTTGCCATATCCACCATGGCCATATCTGTACCTGCTATTTTACTCTAAAGTTTAAAGGCCGAAGCACAGACTTTTGCATAAAGAGCCGTCTACAATGGAGAGTTGTAGGCCGTAATAGTAAGAAATTGACCAATCACAGACAAAGTACAGAAGAATAATCGATTGTGATTTGTCAATTTCTTACTGTTACGGTCTAAAACTCTCCATTGTAGACGACCCTTAACGCATAAAGGGTCGTCTAAAATGGGAGTATAGAGTAAGGCCTGTTCTACAATACAGTCGTAAGCTGTAAGTCGTAAGAAATTGACCAATCACAATCGATTATTCTTCTGTAATTGGTCTGTGATTGGTCAATTTCTTACGAGTTACGACTGTATTGTAGAACAGGCCTAAAGGTCTATCTACATAAGACGTAGACGCAGGTCGCAGGCCGCTGATCTCGTTGAATCGACCAATCACGTAAGTCGATTGGCTGATTTGACAACGTGAATGGTCAATTCCTCGTCGATTCTTTATCACGCAGTGTAGTAAAAATTACAAAAGTGAGCGAATTTACTAAAATATCTATGATCTTATTGGTCAAAAACTAGTAAATTTGCTCACTTTTGTAATTTTCGCTACATTGCATGGATACAGAATCGACCTCCTTAAGAGCCGTCTACAATGGAAAGTTGTAGGCCGTAATAGTAAGAAATTGACCAATCACAGGCAAAGTACTGAAGAATAATCGATTGTGATTTGTCAGTTTCTTACTGTACAGTCTAAAACTCTTCATTGTAGACGACCCTTTATATGGTTGTTCTACAATAGCGCTATAAAGTTTTCTGTCACACATGCGCACTTTATCAGACTTTACTACATTATTAAAGTTGTCGATAGAGGGTTGCGTTACATCTGTGATAATGAAACGTGCTGTATTTTGTTATCAATGTGAGGTTGCAAAAGTTAATTAATTCTGCAAATCAATTTTAGTTGCGTAAATAAATTGCAATATATTGAATTTGTGCGTCTTTAATATGTTATCTTTTTAAGAGGTATTTAAAAATTTTCTATTCGATATAAAATATTTATATTTTAACATACTATTAATCAAACTGACAAAAATAATTAATGTATTTGTTTCTAGTCGTGTAGTACTTCGATTCATATGTACACAAAGGTAATAAAGTATTTTTATCGACGTAAAAATATACACAATAAACATCAAGAAACGTTAAATTACGAACGATGAGCGAGACACCGTCAACAAATGATGCACCAGAAAATAACAGTAGCTCGGAACAGACTCCTTATAATGGTGATGCTGAAGAACACACTAGTAAGTACCAAATATTTCAATTACAGATTGTACACATTTATCTTATGTTAAAACTGTTTTTTTTTCTCATCAGCTAAATCTCCGGTAAGCATAGATGAAAAGACCCCGGATTCAGTACATGACAATGGTGAAAATAAGACAACCACTGCCACTGGCAACACTAACAACACTGTGCCAAACAGACCAAAAAAACGTAAGAAAACTCCGAGGGATGCTACAGCACCGAAACAACCTCTCAGCGGTTACTTCAGGTATTTTCTGAAATAGATGTGTTGTAAATGTAATATTTTTAATAAGATGTAAAATACATACAGGTTCTTGAATGATCGAAGAGAAAAAGTTCGATCTGAGAATCCAAATATGACTTTCACTGAGATTACAAAGTTTTTGGCATCTGAGTGGAGTAAATTGCCTCAAGAGAAGAAGCAGGTTTATCTGAATGCAGCCGAGGAAGATAAGGAGCGTTACAATCGCGAGTTTAGCGATTACAAACAGACGGAGGCATATCGGCAATTTAAGGCTGGTATAGAAAAATTGGAGAGGCATGATAACAAGAAGGAAAAGAACGGCACCGAGATAAATACCGAACCGAACGTATGTGACATAATGTTGACGTTATATTTTAAGATTGCGACTTATATAATAACGGAATACTACTCTTTATTCAACAGGATATTCAACAAGATAAGGACAATGATTTTACAGGTTTTGACATTCCTATTTTTACAGAAGAATTTTTGGATCACAACAAAGGTAAAAAGTTGAAGCAATTAGCATAAAAAGTATATAATGAAATAAAATTATAGTACGTACTAGTGTGATAATATAATACACAAAATCTTAAAAATGTTTTAACGTTATATTCGTTCAGCTTGCGAAACTGAATTAAGACAATTGCGGAAAGCCACGTCCGATTATGAGTCTCAGAACGCGGTTCTCCAGCGACACGTTGACAGTTTGCATGCAGCTGTGAATCGCTTGGAATCTGAAAATAATCAACAACGGACGATTAATCAGGCACTGCAGCGTCATTTGGAATCTCTTCGAACGCAGTTGGTAGGCTGTTTCGCTACCACACCACTTCCAGGTAAATCTTCGGAACAAAGTTTTGTGTGTGACTTGACATTTTTTATTTGAAGGATATTTATCTTATCTCGTGTAAACACTGTTTACAGGCATACAAGATGGTGCTACGATGAGCAATATTGACAATTATTTCGAAAAACTGGAATCGATATTGACCGGTAACGCCGAACAAAGTTTACGTAATGCAGTACGTAATGCCGTGACTCGTCTCGAGTTAATTGGATGACGTTCGCCTCTGAGCAATACGATCAGTACGACAAATTCAACCAGCACAACAACTAGCACATCGTTGAAATATCATCGTTCAAGGCACTCTCATCGAAAGTAGCAAAACCAATTTTGTGATTTTAGTTGCAGTTTGCAAGTTTTACTTTTTTTTTTTTTTTTATGGCATGGATGTGAATGAGTGCTAATTATTTAAATAATTGCTATTATTGTTGGTATATCCATACGTAATTAATTTCCTCATTTTTTCACGTTTATAGAGAGCCAAGTTTCGAGAATAGTACATGACGATTATTTAAGCTTTTGTTGTGTCTTTTGAATGAGTAATTAAATTTTACAGTCGATTTATGTACGCGTTTGTAAAAACAGATAAACTGAAGTAATTCATTGATACAAGTTTCGACGACAAAAATGCCCGATAATTAATCTGAAGAAATATACAAATAATCTAAATTGTCAATTATTAACCTTTTTGGTACAACAACAAGAATTGGCCAAGAAGCACAACGTAAATGTATTGCTTGTCTCAGTTTAAAATTTGATTTTAAAGATTGAAAAAAATATATGAAAGAAAATATATTTAGCGCTCAGTAATACTTATAATCTTATTATCACGAATTATTGTCCATATTTAGCATGTTTTTTATCAGTTGATTCCACGTGAACCTATAAAAATATAATATTACTTTTAAATATAATATAACTTAACATTAATCACAAAGATATAAAAATGATTGTTATCTCTAGATTTTTAAGACGCATACGATCAAGAGGCACGGCAGTGCCCTCGCATCCATGCGCGCGAATTGTATTTACCGTAAAGAAGCCGCATTCGGCCGACGATATTGCTCAGCTTGGAATATAACAGCTTCAATTTGCGGACTCAGGTTGACTATAACGCTTTTTTTTATCGCCAAGACAGATCGTATAAATTCAAAGGTAGATTGAGTATTCGATGTCAAGTATTTTTGTATCGCAGCGAAAACAACAGTTTGAAATTTTTCTCTGAAAACACGAAGATCAGTTGTTAACAATTTGACATTATCTTGGACAATAATAATATCTCGGGATTTGTTCACCTGATCCGCTTATCTTCATCGTAATAAGGACTTTTGATTACAACATTGATAAAATCAATTGTGTACAATTTATGTGGATGATGATCGTGAAGCTTCATGTAGCACCCGAAGATGTTCGGCGAACAAATTTGAATAATATATTCCGTAATGTGTTTGGAATACGTTCTTCCTTCTTTAAGCATTGTTTTTAGAAGCCAAGTTATCTATATGTGGATGTATATAATAAATACATTTACAAACAATCATAATATTGCATAATTTATAACTTCGTACCAAGTTTGCGTGTTTGTGCATGACATTATCCGATGATATGTTGTAAAAATTTGACATCAGCATTTCCAAAATTAAACGCAGAAATTCAGGTTTTGCCTCTATAAAGCATTTTAGCAAAGTTTCGGAAACTTTGAAACTACAACCGCTGTTGATCTCGGTTATTAGAATCGGCAAATACTGATCGAAGATATCCCTGATCATTGCTTGCAACAATATGTCACCTTTGATATTTAATTTTTCCAAGCCCAGTATCACCATCGAGAATATTCTTTTTCCCAAGTGCTTTATGTGCAACTGTGCGGAGTTCTCGGATACCAATATGGTTTTGTTGACGAGCATCCTTAACATATCGTTCGGTTGATTCTGCAAAACCCAAGATTTTTCTAAAGAGATGAGAATTTCATAAGTCATTGTTAGATTACGTACTTTGATGTACAACATCGGAGAAATGCAAAGAATCAACGTTCCTAAACATCTGTAAATCCAAAATGCAAGTTCCGAATCTTTTGTTTCTTCTGTTATAGGTAGTAGAATCCACTTCTCTAAATTTTTAAAATACGTTTTACATTTTACGGTGTATTGAAGCTTCTCCTGCTCCGACTAGAAAAGTTTTTTGGTTGCATTGATTTACTTGTGGAAAAGCATTTATGTTACGTTTGTGTTGTAAGATTATTCTTATTGAATATAGAAGAATTGAATTAATACCCTTAAAGCGTTCTGTTTCTTCATGAACAATATGATGAATACTAGAATGGGTTCATTACTGTTTTTAAATTCTTGCAGATCGTAATCTGTAACAAACAGTTCTTTGATGTCGTCGAGTTGGATAATGTAATCTTGCAAAATCTTGATTTCTCTTTTATCTGTGTCGTAACCAACAATGGAACATTTTATCCAGGCCTGGAACATTTTACATCAATTATTTGCCCCCCGTAATGTACGTAACACACATAAACACTCTCGTACGCACTTGAATGAGAATACTATCGAAATTCGAAACTTCCTTCTTCAATTTTTGTGTGGCTTGCTTGTCCTCAATAATCAGTGCTAAATAATATTGTGTGATTCTGAAAATAGAGAAAAAATAAAATAGAGATGATATTATTTCAAATCAACCATCCGAAAGAAGAAATTTTCGAATTGTAATCAATTTTACCTAATATCTTTTACAAGTACTGATGCTGCAAAGTGTTGAAACAAAGACACAGCAGAATGTTTGTACTTTTTAGCAATAGCTCGGTCTCTAATTGCTTCTGTTGTGAACATGACAGCTAGTTTAGAAATAATTTTGTAATTATTATCGGTGAAAACGGGATCAAAAACGAGCTGGCGAACTCTAGAAGCAACAAAACACCACAGCGCATCTAACATTTTCCTAACACCATCTATAAGCAAGTATTAGATTATACGAGTATAGCGTATGTAAAACACACATCTTATACAATGTATAAAATAAAAATAAAAACATACCAACCAGAATTGTCACAAGAAGTCTGCAGAACAATACACTTCTCGAAAACGTTAGCGAGCATGCTCAATAAAAAGGCGATTCTATTTTTGGGACACTCCAAAAGATAACGATCGATCCAACCACCAATAAAAGTATATTCACCCAAATCCAGTTTCTCATTGCTGGATAAAATCATATTTAATACATCGATAAAATTAGTCATCATAACGCGAGACGTTTCGTCTTTGCGACAGCTAATCAGATTGATCTATCAAATCAAACGAATTGGAATATGTAAAGTAGTTTTTACAGTTTGAATTGAATCCGTAAACACAAAAAGTGAATCTTACTGTTTCTATAAAGTGACTTGTTATGGAAACAAAAGATAATCTTTTCTCATTAAACAATAGAAGACACATTAACTTTCCTTTCCAGATTAGGCTGCATTTTTTATTGTATTCGTTGTTTAATTCTTGTGTAGATGGCAAGAGATCCAGCATTGTTGTACACTGCAAGAATGTACATTATACTCGTGATAATTAATAGTTTAAATCTTTCTCTTTTAATTTTGCTTACCACGTTTGTAATATCTGCGGTAATAGCTAAAGTAACAAATAACGACATAAAATTGTAAAGCCCACTCTCGGAAAACTCGGCAACTTTGTTTTTTGAAAATTTCGTATATACACGCCCTTTAATTTGATTCCAATACTTCGGATCTGTCTTGCCATATTTTTTCAAAAAAGTACCTGAAAATTTATTTCTCATTGTACAATTAAAGTGCAAAATGGATTAGCCAAACTCACCTATCAGATACAAAAACATTCCGTAGCTGGATTCTTTTGAATGTTCAAACTTATTGTAAATTCTGTCGTTAATTTGCTTTAAAATATTTTCAGCCGTCTTTCTACGAAAATAAAAACAATTTTGTGATTTTTTAAATATACAACTACAAAATTTATATATAAGCTGCATGTGTACTTTTCCAGAGACAAGGTCCCAGAACCGAATGTCTGTAATAAGAATGGCTGGTTCAATCTCTTGTGAAAACAATCCCAAAGAAAAGATAAAGTTGTTACGCGTGGTTCCCACCAGTTAATGATAAGATCATGTAACAACGGTATTATGATTTTGAGTTCAACATCAAGTTCATCCCTCTCACCGTCTTTCCCACCTTTGCATACGTATACTTTAAGAATCTTTTCTATCTCTTTGTAATTAGATTTAATCTACAAAAGAAACAAAAAATATATTGCATGATTTGTGTGAGTCAATTTCCGTGTATTGTACAGTACCCTTGAGGAATTCGACTGCAAATATACACCATCGTTGCTGTATCCATACAACAAAGACAAGTGGTACATTAGCCATATGCAAAATAGTTCGGAATTTTTGCAAGAAAAGTTCACATTTGTGTAGCAGGTTGCTTGATTCTGATCTTTACTTAATATCTTATCGATACAGTTATTTACATAATCCCAAAATATCTAAAACAATTTATATGTATACTGAGTATATATACACACACAAAATAAGAAAATACGTTTTAAACACAAATTTACCTTGGTTTTCATCTTTTCTTCCAAACTATCAATAAATATCTGAATCATAAGCCACACTTCTCGTGTGCAAGTGCAGAAATATGGTGTTTTTTGAGTGAGATCTTTCCAATTTAAAGACTAAACAAATAAAAAATATATAAACACACGATTAAGATGCTCTCTCGTATTAACATAGAAGTAAAATAAATTATTTACTCTTTCAAATACTTTTACAGCAGTGTATACGAGATCATTGACGATCATTTCGACAGTATTTTCGAGATCTTCCGGCGATGCATGCATTTGGTATTGATACCACATAGTTCTTGAATGAACCAATGTGACAAAAAACCATCTTAACTCTATGTGCATATGATACAAGTGATATTCCGGCTGCTTACACTAAAATCACAATAATTGCATTAGCATCATGTAGTTATTTGAGATAAATAAAAAATCTTTATTCCAAAAATAAGTTGTGTGCAATTTACTCTATTGCCCATGTGAGAAGCAGCATAATATAGAATTGAATCCGGGATATTTCTTAGAGTGCTGAGAAAATGCTTAATGATATTAAATAGACAATCCACATGTTTGTTAATTTCAGGTATCAGTATTTCTAACGTACGAAGATCCCACTTTATGCTGCAATATCAGATTTAAAAACAATCCACTCATTGCAAAGAATCACAGAAGTGATTTTTCACTTACCTGTTTGTATATGTACGAAAATATAAAACAAATTCACAAATCATTTTTCTTATAGAAAAATAATCTATGCTATAATTATCACATGATCCAGGTATTGTAGCTGAAGCTCTTTCATTTCTATTTAATATTTTTAATTGCATCCTGTAAGAAAGCATATAAAAATACATATCTCTGCTTTATAAATATTGTATAGCACTTACTCGGTATATAAATTTTTAATAAACATACAATATATATATATATATAACTATTTTTTAAAATATATTCTTACTGCAAGCAATCAATGAAATGATTAAGATTCATTATAGCAACAGCTCCAGGCATAACACAGTCAAAGAGCCTGACTTCTGTGTGTGAAAAAGGATAGTCAATTTGAGGAAAAAGCACATTATCCACTTCTTTGTGATAAAACAGACTGTTTCTATTCAGCTGCCAATCATTGATGTTTACCTTACCGCTACAATCGCAAGTAACATCAAGATCCATTTGTGGTACATGCAACTGTATCAAAATATGTAAATATTGTGTGTGTACAAATGTATATCAGTATGAGTTATCCATTTAAATTTTGTAATAAAATATAATAAAATAATAGTTTTCTCTTGTTTACTTGTGAGAAAAATTGTAAAATTCAATCTTCGATCTTATGTCAACAGAAATTGCAATTTATTGGCCGATCTCGACGAAGTTTCTGACTTCTGACGATGCAAAAATATCCAATGTTTTTTTCTGGCAAACGATTGCAGGTGACAACTTTCAGCAACATTCGTGCATTTTGGCGGCACTTTCAGTTCTGTTTCACAAAAGAGTCCTCTGCCGGAGCAAGTGTGTATTATTTTGAACTCGCGCACGCAACTTTCGGTAAAGATACATCAACATTTTTTAGACACACATTTTAACTTTTATATTATATATATGTATATACTTTTTTCTCAGAAAGACATACATAAACGCAATATATATAAATAAGATAATATTCAACAAAGAAAACTATAATTTCTGGGGAAAAAAATTCACGAGAACGTAGCATTTCTCACATGCTATACATATATGTAAAACCTTTCCATCTCGTTGTGATTTAAAGGGACGTTGCAAAATAATACCGATTCCGGTCAGGATGACGCTTCCATTTTCTCGCGATCGTGAGATCGTGATTTAAAGTTCTGCGGGATTGTTTACAAGTTCGCACACACGCGTCAAAGATGGCGTCGAATATGACGAGTGTATCGGATCGCTCAGCCACGTGCGCGTAATAAATACATACATAACGAGAGACAAAATGCGTTCCCGGCACGTCGGTCGTCGAGTTAAACTTGTCTGAGCGAGAGGAGGACACGTACGTTCTGACGTGTTACGCATTCGCGGATACTTCTCGCCCGGCTCCGATTTCGAATGGCAACAGCGGACGAAAAATCGCACAAGGGTCATGTCTGTGCACCCGATGACTCACCCGTCGATGTCATTCGACCGCAATCAGGTGACGATGGTCCTTTAAGAGAAATGATAAAAATGGAAAAAGCAAATCCCAATATGAACGTAACTTTGAAGGAAGTAACGCCTCGTAATCTTCGCGACGAGGTACGTCCACGTTTCTTTCCCGAATAAAAACTATTCTTTTGAGTCTCTCTCTTCGAAACAGCACGCGGATTTAGGTTAGATGCATTAAATTCATTTGTGCTTTGCGGAATACGTATTTCTGTTCTAATCTCGTACATACTAGCTGCGTTCTCTCTTTTTTCTGTGAAATCTCAACTTTTTACATCTTTTTTATTTAACAGTTTTTAATATGAGTATAGTTTTTTATAATACAAAAACTAAATAATGTACAAAATGAAGCTTGCAAACTTTTTGTTTATATTTAATTTATACAGACAAAAATTTTATATATATACATATATATACATATGTAATATATTTTTTACAAGTAATATATTTTGATCTTTTAAATTGACAAATATAAGACAATTTTTATTTATTTGTCCATAGCCTCCTTTCTTGCAAGCCATATTTCATAGAAATATAGAGGCAGTTCGTGGGTTGTTGGAACAAGACGATGTCAATTGGCAAGATAAGGAGCAACGTTCTCTCTTGCATGCAGCAGCATTTCGGTTAGTATCATTGTAAGAAAAACCATGATGAGAACTTTATATAAAATTTTTTAATTGTGAACAACAGTTGAGAATGTCTTTGATATTTTTATATTTTAGAGGAGATGCCGCTATTGTGGAACTTCTTTTGTTGAGTGGTGCCACAGTCAGCAGTAAAGATAAAAAATGGTTAACTCCTCTGCATAGAGCATGTTGTATGGGTAACGCTGAAGTGGTGGAAATGTTGCTGGAATACAAAGCAGATGCAAACATGCGAGATCGTAGCTGGCAGACACCTCTTCATGTAGCTGCGGCAAATAATTCTATGCAATGTGTAAATCTTTTAATACCACATTTGATAAACATCAATGTCACAGACAGGTTTGTGTGTGTAACTTCAGTTCAATTCTATAATATAACGATTATAAACTTTAATAAAAAATTGCGTCACATACAATTTTTAATTCTTAAATTTTATAGAAGTGGGAGAACTGCTCTTCATCATGCTGCTTATAACGGTCATCTTGAGATGGTCGAGCTTCTCATACGCCTCCGTTGCGTAGTAAATGCTTCCGATAAAAAAGACCGGAGAGCTTTGCATTTTGCAGCTTATAACGGTTACGACGAAATTGTGAAGGTGCTGATAGCAGCGGGCGCCGATGTCGACGTTAAGGTATAACTTTGTTATGAGACAAGAACGCTCTAGGTTTTATTCCACACATGTTTATATTTTCTTATTTGTATGTTAAGGATCGAGACTTATATACTCCATTACATGCAGCAGCTGCGTCTGGTAATGTAGAGTGTGCGCATATTTTAATCAATGCCGGGGCAGATATTGAGGCCAAAAACGTATACGGAAATACACCGCTGCATATCGCGTGTCTTAACGGATCCGCTCATCTTATTAAGGAACTTATAGCTAATAATGTTAATTTAGGTAAGTCGTTATATCGTATTGTAACACAGTTTTATTATCAATTTATCTACAAATAATTAAATATTGCACTTGTTACAATCGCAATAGAAGCTGTAAATTATCGTGGACAGACCGCATTGCACATTGCCTCAGCCAGTATGTACGGCGTTCAGTGTTTCAAGATGCTTATACAAAATGGGTTGAGAGTAAATGTGCAGTCGGAAGATGGTCGTACGCCATTACACATGACTGCGATACATGGAAGATTTACGCGATCTAAAACGCTGCTGGATTCGGGAGCTTTTCCGGATTCGAGAGACAAAAATGGAAATACCGCTTTACATATCGCTGCTTGGTAAGTCGTATATTAAATTAAAACTATTAATTAGACATATTTTTATGTGTGTCTGTGTAGACGTTTCAACGCGCGCGCAAATAGTATAATCAAAATAACATTACAATCAATTATTATCAGGTTCGGTTACGAATGTCTGACAACGTCTTTGTTGGAAAGCGCTGCATCTCCTGCCACACGAAACGCGCAACAACGGACGCCTTTGCATTTAAGTTGTTTAGCGGGACATATAGAAGTAAGTCGTATAAAGATTTATCACTGAAATCTATATTGCAAGAAAATAATTTTCGACTTGTTTCTATATTGTTCCACAGGTATGTAGAAAATTATTGCAACTTGATAGCAGGCGAATTGATGCGCGAGATAGCGGTGGTAGGACTGCATTGCATTTAGCGGCATTTAAGGTAACGTTTTTGCACGTTTCACTTTATAATATTCTTAATTATTTATTTTTCGTCGTTTGTTTATTATTTAAAAACAGTTTATACGTATTTATTATTCAATGTCACATGTCGCGGACAAAAAAAAATATATATATATATATATATATATCGCGATTTTGGTCCCGAGCAGGGGTGTGTGGACTGTTTAGATCTGCTTCTGTCAAATGGTGCTAACTTTCGTCTTGTCGATAACGACAATCGATTGGCCCTTCATCACGCCGCGAGCCAAGGACATTATCCTTGTATTTTCACCTTGGTTGGATTCGGCAGTGACACAAATGCTCAGGACATAAACGGTGCTACACCCTTGCATTTAGCCGCAGCGGCTTCATACGAGTTAGTATTCTTATTATCTCTCTTATCTCATTGTGTACGCTCGTTGTAATTATTTTGATTGTATAGAGCTCACAAGTGTGTGCAATATCTGTTACAACATCGAGCGGATCCCCGCTTGCGGGATAAACGCGGCTTCACTGCGATTCACTACGCGGTAGCGGGTGGCAATCAGGCCGCACTGAAGGCACTTTTGGACGCTTCGTCTGAGAGTGACGCGATCTCTTCGACTAGTTCTTCGACGGGGCAGGACTCGTTCTCGCCAGCACTCACTCCAATACATCTCGCGGTAAACTAAGAATTTTATTTAACACACATAAACGAAAAATAAGAAGAATAATGTTTAATTTACGAGTGAAAATATGTTACCAGGCATATTATGGTCACGTAAATATTTTGAAGCTGCTTCTACCCTTATATCCCAATACAAATATCAAAGAGGATAGCGGAAAAACGCCATTAGATCTGGCCGCCTACAAAGGACACAAACAATGCGTCAAGCTATTATTGCAATACGGAGCTTCGGTTTCGGTGCAAGTAAGGAAAATTGAGATTATTCGCGCACATTTAATGTACATAAAACACTATCTTTGAAGTATTAACGTATATCGTATTTTTTCAGGACAATGTTACAAAACGCACACCTGTACATTGCGCCGCTGCGGCGGGCCATACCGATTGTCTGACCCTTCTGCTGCAGAAAGCGGACGATCCCAACGTGGTGAACCATTATGATTCCAAGATGCGCACAGCCTTGACGCTGGCTGTGGCAAATAATCATCCCGAGTGTGCGATGCTGCTGTTGAGATACAAAGCCGACTGCAATCTGCCGGACATTAACAAGCACACACCTTTATTTCGAGCGGTGATCAATGAACACGATAATCAGCTGGTGAAATTGTTGTTAATTCACGGCGCGCGAGTAGCCGTGCAAGACGCAAACGGTAAAACGCCATTACACTTGGCAGCTGCCTGCGGCAGGTAAGAATAATTGATATTTGTACAAAAACTGTTCATCGCGGATTTTTTCTTTATCTTCAAGCATATTCGTAGATTATACGCGTTGTCAGCGCTCGTTAAAACAGACCCAACTGCTGCCGCGTTAAAAGACGATCAAGGATGCACAGTGCTTCATTGGGCTTGCTACAACGGCCACTCGAATTGCGTGGAATATCTTTTGAGTCATAATGTGTTCGATTCTTTGGAAGGTAGAAGTGTTTTTCTCTTCGCTTTTTTAAGGAAAGTTGCACAGTAACGCAACTCAGAACTCTGTTTGTTTTACAGATACTCCGTTCTCCGCTGTACATTGCGCCGTATATCAGGGATCCGCGTATTGCTTGGATTTGTTAATTAACAAGTTTGGCGGACAAGCAGTCGCGGCGCCAAGAGATTCATCCTGCGGTTTGTTACCGTTACACGTTGCTGCCAGCGCAGGATCCGTCGAATGCGCACGACTGATCCTGAACTCCGTTGGAGCGGAATTAGCAGGGCTTGAGACGAGCGATTACTTCGGACGAACGCCGCTTCTTTGCGCGGCTGTCAACGGACAGAGTAACGTCATCGGTAAGAGTAACGTCGTCGTCGTCGTCGTCCTCGTCATCGATCGCAGTTCTATGTATTTGCGTGAACACTAATGAGATATTACGAATAGAATTGCTACTCGAGTGGAAAGCCAATGTACGCGCCGTCGATTCCAACAAGAATACAGCGTTGCACTTGGCGTGCCAAAAACGCCAATCCGCTGCGGCGTCTTTACTTCTAAATTGGATCGAGCAGTTTGGTGGTTCCGATGGCGACAAGTACGCAGTGCAGTCGCAACAGCAGCAGCAGCAGCGAGTAGCCATTATCAATATGACTAACAAACAGCTAAGAACGCCATTGCATTTGGCAGCGAGAAACGGTTTAGTAACGGTAAACTTAGTTTAAAGTTTTTATTTTATACATGATAAAAACTAATGTCTCTTGTTGAAGATAATTCTCAAGTGTTATTTTGCACAGATCACGCGTCGTTTATTGCAATTGGGTGCGAGTGTCGTAGCTATAGATGCCGACGGACTCACGCCTGCGTTAGCTTGCGCTCCAAATCCAGCGGTGGCCAAGTGTTTAGCTACTATTCTCACCGCGCACGGTAACGTGGCAATGTGGTTTTTGTTTTGTTTTGCTTTTATTTACTTGTCTTGCGTGTAAATGTATAATGGAATAAAATTATAATCTAATCTTTTATTAATCAAGGTCAAAACGGAGAAACCGCACAATATTCGCCATCCATTCAGCAAACATCAGAGGTATATCTAAATGGACGAAGTAATGTGGACTCACAGCATAGTTCCGACTCGGAGTTTTACTGACAACAAGCATCAACACGCTCGGATCGTCAAGCGTTCCAAGTACGTCTAAACGGTGATTCGACGCACGGCAACGTTGACGCCGCCAGTTTAATATGGACGAGTTGCTGGCTCTTTTCAGTTCTAACATAATCAGCGACTCCAACACGAAGCGAACGATATATACCTTAACCTAATCCTAATCAAGTCGGACAAACGAATCTCTTACAGTGATCTCGTTATGCTGCAATTCTGACAATACCATGTTTCTACTATCGCAAACTCGATAGAATTAATAATCGACTGCCAAGAGGAATATACGGATGCACGTATGTAATCAGAGTTACTTAATGATAACTTTATATACAGATATCTAAATATACATTTAAGAAGCGAGCGGTCTGTGCATATGAAAAGTCATCTATAGCTATTTAAAATACATTTCCAGTAATTACGCATCTTGATGTGCGAAGTACAAAATTATTTGATACGCGCGACATTACATTTCTCAAAATTTCATATTATACTTTTAACGTGAACACTAATACGGCCATAAACCGAGTGCTGGTATATAAGTGCGCAATTTTAACCCTTGGACTAAAATTCGCCTGTGACGGATACTAAACTGATTTAGAAATCCGCTCGGACGAAGATTAAATTAATCCTGCGGCGATGAGAAAAACATCACGTGCCGTAAGCTTTATACAAATCTTCATAATTTAAATTAAATTTGATTACGTGTATTACTTTTAATTTTATTTGTTTTTTATTTATTATTACTCACAATATTTTAGAGAACGGAACGCGACGTTAACAAAACGTTTAGTCGTATGTGCTATGTTACGTGTACGTAATGTGTGCGTGCGTGTGTGTAATTATTTGATAATAATCATGGTATTTAATGTTGATAAACGAGATTAACGGGATGTCTATTACTTGGAGAAATCTGAAGAATTTGGAATTCTTTGTTTTACAAAAAACTAAGAATTTTCTGTTTTATTTTTTTTGTTTTATAAAACAAATCTCAAAGAAATTTTACAGCTCAGGAAATTTTTGTTGTTTGAAAGTTCTTTCTTGAGAAAGACAAATATTTTTTGAATTACACTTCTAAAATATTATTTTATCTGGAAATTTTAACGAATGCCTAGGCAATCAAGGAATTATCAGAGAAGTTCTTTTCGAAAATTGAATAGACACTCTCCTTTTTTGGGGGGAGGGGGAGGGGGATAATAATAGAACAATTTATATGTTTCTCAATTACTTATTACTTATGTTTTATAGATAGCATGTTATCAGCGCGCATTTACAAAATTAACATTCTATTTAATGCTATTGTGAAACACATGTCTTTAAGTAGAAACAGTAAAAACTATTTTCTATTTATTAGTAGGCCCCAATTCCTCTTTGGACAATATCGAGATTTAATTTTATCTTTAACAAATTATCGACATTATTTTAATATCCTTCCTTCTCCTCTTACATATCTTACAAAATAATAAAAACAATAATAACAATAATAAATAACCGCAACAATGATTGCAGGTTTTATCTTCTAAATTGTTAAATGAGAATATGATTAACGCGTACGCATATGTACCAACTTTATATATTTCAAACGATGTTTGCATAAATTTTTTAAATAACAATTCTCATATGTATGCAACTATTAACTATATACCACGAGCCTCAAGCAAACAATAATAATATAATTATTACAAAATAATAATATAAATTATTCGTTACCAAACGCGCCAAAATCTTTCGAACAAATCTAAAAGTGCAATAAGCGATTGAGAATAATTGAAAAAGGTGAATGAATTTAACGACAGCATTAAATATATTAATTTTGTAGTCGAATATAACAAATCTCAAATATAAGCGCAATCTGCTCTTACGGCAGATATAATTAGATGTCAAATACCGACAGATAGATTATGCTCAATTAATTGCATTTACTATAATGTAGTTTATTTTTTTCTAATTAGTTAGACGAATGTCTTCCATTCTCAGTAGCATTTATCAATTCTCCGAAGAGATCTGCGCTGATTTATATTTTATCTGCGTGTTATTTATGCAGAAAGATCTTTTGTCGAACGACTTTATTTTGGACATACATTCGTGAGTTGTTTCGTCGCATGAAAAAAAAACATAGGATTATGATTAGAAAGATTATGAAGAAATGCTGAAAGTATAAATAACGCGTCTTGTGATTTACTGATTGTAAATATAGCAAAATTGAACAATTTGAACACAGTCGAGAGAATTCTGTACATAAATTCAAGGTAAGCATATTTATTATGAAAAAGAGAGAATCTAGCTATTTTCTTAGACATTTGTAGTAAAGCCTAAACTGCCTGACTATAAATGTATATCGAATGAAAAAACACAGATTGTAAGTATATAAAGATATGCAGAAAAACCGATATCGAGAGGAATTGAATCAGAATCATGCCGAAAAACGTTAAAAAAACAATTTAATGTAGTGATCGTTTTATTACTTTTGTACTTATGAGTTACCCCCAATGAGTTTTGCATTTACTAGATTGTAAGCATGAGTTTCAAAAGGACGATATACATATGTACTGACGCGATTTTAACTGTTAATGTTACATGCATAATAAATATAATAATTCATCGAGAGGAATTGAGTCGGAATTGTGTCAAAACATATAGGTATTTCATTTTTTTAGAATGTTTTACGTTTCATATATTTTTGAGCAATTTATACTTTGACTGCCACACAAGCGATCTATTGTATTATATGATAATTTTATTACACACAAACACACACACACACATATATATATATATATACAATACCTCTCAATATATTATTACATCGCGCTTAAACCCAATAATTATATAATATAATTAAAGAAATTGTTGATATTGTAGAAATTGATACTGTGAGAAATTTCTCGAATATGTATGTATGTACATGATTTTGTATTTGTGACTGTTATATAAAACAGAAAAGTGAGAAAAGAATAATATAACATCGGGAAACATATTTTTTCTATAACTTCTGATCTTACACATTTAACGAGTTTTACAAACATGCAATATATATCATATTACGTATATATAAAGTTACATTTTAAGAGATTCTGCTATCATACATCTGTATTGCAAACATTTGTAATCAATACATGTCATTATTTTATTTCCTGGCGATACTCTATCTGTTTTTTCTTTTTCAAATCCATTCATTTCTGATTTAATTTAAGTTATAAATTCGTGTGAAAAAAATTTGACGAATCAAGATTCTCTGATTCGAGTTTTCGAATCAAAATCGGATATACTTAGATATTTGGAAATATACTTAAAAATTCTAAATTCTACGAAGATTTATATTACTTACAAAATAATCTTTGTACCATACACTCTCATTTATTAGTTTACTTCATTAGTTTACTTTCTCATTTATTTGTTTATTTCTTTTTGAGATTTTCGTCCAGATGTGACGATATGAGGTAGTCACTACATTCTAGGAAAGCATGCAAGCGAGTAAGTAGTTGTCATTGCAACACGTCCACTAGGGACTCAGGCGATCGATATCACAAAGGAAAGTATATCTTCGACTGCATTCGACAGCTATCGAGCACTACTGTAAGCAAGATAACAAGAAATTAGGAAACTTGTGTGTCATGATCGCGCACATATATACAACGATTGTATATTACAAATATATATGAATAAACTAGTGGCTCTGGCTGTTTTGAAAAAAGCTCTCGGCCGAAACGAGGATAATCCGTCAAGTACTGACAAACGGGTGTCCGGAGTATACGAGCTTACAAGGGATATTTGTATATAATTGACGATGGTTGGTCTCAAATGTTCTACATAAAAAAAAATTATGTAATATCTATACATAATTGAAGATTACTGAAGATCTATAGAGAGCAAGATCTCGACAAGCAAAACAGAAACAGCGATAGACTAGTATGATACTGTAGGAAGTCGACTGTTCCGATAGCAACTGTTCCACGGTGGATTGCAAACCTCTAGATCTTTGTTTTGCGCCAAGAAGCTAGAGTTGCATCATTACGCCTTGGGAGTAGGAACACAGGAAATGCTAAGAGCTTAGCGTCTGATCCCGGCGACGAGACTCTAATTTATAGACACTATTTCCTCCTTACGCTATAACAAATAGATAAATATAAAATCGTGCTATGATAGAAATAATCTCGCAATTGTTTTTACTATATGTGGGACACTATATACAAATATACAATGTAATTAAGATAATATATAATTATACTTGAGATATATAACAAGAAATAGTTTAATTAATATTTACAACTTATCACATATACATATATAATAGAGATATGTACAAAGAGTATATATATATTACAAAACTTTTATATATAATACTGAAGGAACGTTTGGCGATAGTAACGTATTTTTAATCAATTGTTGCTTTATATATATATATATATAAAGCAACAATTATTATTATATATATATGTACATTTTTCGCAAAACATGTGTTTAAATCAAAATCCTTTCATACTTCTAAAACACATGTATTCGAATACATTAACTCTCGTTAAACCTGAAGTGAATAAGGTTCCGTCTCGGAATCTTTGGTATTTTTCTCCAGGTTCTCCGGCGATAACTCCAGACAAATGTTGACGTAAGCGTAAGCGTTCGCTACGATGTTCGGCTGCTTCTCTTCTGAAATCGACACGAATCGCTGAAGACTGACATCTTTCGGCTGAGACCACACGGTGGTGAAAATCTGGCAAGCGTTTGTCGAAGTGCTGTCTGATTTCTTCTTGGAGAACTTCATCTCGATCTCATCAAGACTGCGTCCCCGTGTCTCCGGCAATATCGTCAGCGCAAAGATAGCGCCTAACAGACCGGCTATGCCGAATATCCACATCGTAAATTCCAGACCGATCACGGCGTTCAGATCTGGATACGTTTTGATCGTGGCAAATGTCAGTATTTGCACAATACCGGTCGTGAGACCACCTAAGCCACCTCTAAACCTCAGCGGATATAATTCCGAAGTCATCACCCATGGTAACGTGAGGAAACCGATCATAGATGCGCCTACGTGGATGCCGATGCAAAGTAACAACATCCACGATGGAAGATCAAACCTAGTTGGGAAAAATCATGTATTGTACAATCAAGAGGATTGTTAGAAATATGTTAAAGACAAAGAAACAAAAAAGTAAAAAAAATATAAATAAACATTAATTATATAAACATAAAAATATGCAATCTTAAAATCCAAAGATTTATATAATAAAGATATATATTACTTATATATAAGACTTATATAATAAGACTTATATAATAGGTTCAAAACACAAACCTGAAGGAAAGAGCGATCCCGCTGGCCGCGACGGCCATTGTGAAACTACTGGCAAAAGTCAAAGACTTTCTGCCGAAGTGATTGGCCAACGCAGCGCCAAAGATCGATGCAAACAGTCTGATAACAGCTATGCCGACACTTGCGGCGTACTCGTTCACGTCTATGCCCGTGTCTTTGAGCATGCTCACGGCGTAAAAGAGAATCACGTAAATACCGGAGAGTTGTTGAAGCACAAAAAAAATGAGAAGTATCAGAAACGGTTTCCAGATGTTGGGCATATGCAGTGCTCGCAGTAGACTCTCTTTCTTTTCTTTTCGCTTCGCGTTTGCCTCGCAAAGTTCCTGATACTCCTTGTCGACGTTCAGTCCGGGACCTCGAAGCCACAAAAGAACCTCCTTGGCCTCGTTTGTTCGACCCCGCGAGATCAGCCAGGCAGGAGTCTCCGGCAGTATCCTAGAGAGAAAGAGAGAGAGAGAAGTAATACTTATTTATCCATCAAAGCTAACAAAAACTTAAAAAGAGCTTCAAGATTTTCTGCATTTTCATAATTTTTTATCTCACATAATCCCAAAGTAAATAATTACCGTATTAACGCGAGCGACAAGATCGCGGGTCCGATGCTGATGGCGGCCGCCTTTTGCCACGTCGTGATGGCACCCAGAATGTACACCATTAGAACACCCAAAGAGACTAGAACTGGTCCGCAGCTCGCGAGCCACGCTCTTTGATCGGGTGCTGCTGTCTAAAGTAACATAAAATATTTTTGTTTTCCTCAAAATTGAAAATGGAATAAAAACTCATAAGTATCGCATATCATCTGTCCGCGCGCATACTTCGCTAACGTAGAGATAGAGTCCATTGGCCATGCCGGTTCCGATACCGCTGATGAATCTGCCGGCGTATAACATTGGTAAGTTTCTCGATAACGCAATTAGCAGCCAGCCGACGACGTGCGGCAACGTGGCCAGAGCGATCGCGAATCTACGGCCGAAACATTCGGCGCAGAGTCCAGCGACAAGGGCACCAAGGGGATTTGAGACAACGCCAAGGGAGGCGACCCATGATGCCTGTGATTGATCGGCGAAGTTTGACTCGATCAGCTTCGGTATCAGGATCGCGCTATATCCTTGAGACAATCCGACGGAAATCTGGCCGGAATGAGCGGCCAAGCCTGCGAGGATCTGTCAAATATCCAAATGATATTCTTTATGAGATATTTGTTTTTTTTTTCACAGATATATATAAAAATATATATTTATGTGCAACAATATAGCACTATTTGTTTGTCTGTTTGTTTGTTTGTTTTTTTTTTTTTTTCAATAAAATATGTACCCTTCTCTTCCGAAAAATGCGTGTTCGAAACGGGGAAACATAATGTGTTGTGTATCGAAAATATATTAATTTGCACTACTATTTTGACACATACGTCGCCCAGTCAGAAATCGACGTCGATCAACCGTAGATCGACTAGTATAATCGACGTCGATTCGACAAGGTATTTCTGACTGGGTCGGATATACCGCTTTCAGAAGTAGATGTTAAAGAAATGACGTACGTGAGGTTGACGTGTAAATTACTCTTGATCATATTACATATTCCTTCTTACGTAATCGAATTGTATACGTACGTTAACATTGTTACGTATTGTGGAGCTATTGTTACATAACACGAATGATTCACTTGATAGGACACTAGGATACTATATAGGAGCGATTAAAGTTAAAACAAGTAATTGTGAGACAGATCGTATTTTTCTCAAAATTTCTTTGGATTAAACAATTAGATTCTTCTTGTAATCAGAATATTGTTTGAGAAACAGCGATAAACTTTTCTCTTTGTTTCGAAGAATTCCCGATACATGTGAATGGCGTGCTTTGTCGTATCTCATTCGAAACAAAAATTAAAAAGTCAATATATGTTATATTGCATTAGTGTATGAAATATATGTATACATTATACACACGTATCATGCGAGATACTGAAGTGCGTCAGGACGTAACATTTGCGCGACACGTCGGTACACGAATATATCATCGCGTTGCGCCGTCAGTGTTATTATCATTTCGATCGCAAAAAAAGATCTACAAGCTTCAAGAAGGTCGGATATCAAGGTTCATTTTGTTCCGGATTATAAGATACCTACGCACGATTTTCAATGGAAATTTGCCTTTCGCAACAATAAGAAAGTAGAAATAAAAAGAATTTTAACAAACATACATTATACAGATCGTACACAAATAATAAAAAAATAATAAAACTAAGTGAGAGCTAAGCACTGTATGTACGCGTGCAAAACACTTTTTTTAAATTAAATATCTAATAAATTAATACACAATATATTTTGAATTAAATTCAAAATTCGGAGATCGAATACTTGTGATTTACATTAAAACAAATTTCTTTTTATAAGTAAAATAATAATTTTTTATTATATAATAATTTTTTTATTTTGGTTAATTTCTTTTTATTTTCTTGTAGATGTCTTGTTACAGCAATTGCGCAACACGATATTTCTCGTTTTGTTTCACGATTGTCTCACGTCGAGAATCTCCGATATGTTTCATTGACATTCTTTCCGAGAGCAAGAATTTTAGCAAAAAGATACACACGCATCCGTTTCGTCTATTCGCGCATGATTAAATAAATACTTCATGTAAAGTTACTTATCCTGTTTGTTAGCGCTCTTTAGTATCTGTATTGGCTGTTTTATTCAAGAAAATACCGCAAAATAAAATATCGCGAGATAAAATATCTGCGTATTTCGAAATTAGTAAAAATATGAATAAACAAACATTACGCATTAATTTCAATTAACACTTTTGCTAGCAAATGTGAACACCAACCACATAATAAAGCATAAACAAAAATACATTAGAAACTTTCACGCCCAGTACTTTCGGTCGCCTTGATACTTTACACACTACTTATAAGTTTTGTTATTTTTATTTATGTAGAAGAAGGAACGGGAAGCAGAGCCCGTAACAATAGCACTTTTATGTTTAAGTTGCTAAAATTGTACGTAATAAATGTATACGTAATAAATGTATTGACTCTTAAGTGTATACATTTATTAAATTTGACGTTTTACTGTAACATAATTAGTAATGCGAAAACCAGTGAACTTACACCTTTCTTGTCGTCGAAGTGAAAAAGCTTCCACCAGACTCTCGTTTCTCGAGCGATCATCGCGCAGACCAGTGTCTGAAAAAAAAAAAAAAAAACACGATAAATTACCAGCAATGAACGGTGTCCGTTGAACGTTTTCCTTTTTTTCTATCATTTCGAATTGCGAAAATAGTTCAAAAATAACGGACGTGCGATATACACTTAGAGCTCAATTTATAAATAACATATTAATTTTGCTTGTTTAAAAGTGACTCCGATAATTGCATGTTTCTTTTCCGGTTTCGAATAGAAACGTAAATTCGTGTAACCTACCCGCGAGTTTGACAAGTTGTCAAGCAAATTCACTTCCGGCGTGTGTGTGACTCTTCGTCTCTCATTGCAAATAACAGTGATGCACGCGAGAGGAGAGGGAGGAGAGACAGATAAAGAGACGAGATCGCGCGTTTGTTCGGAAAATTTAAATGCTCTGCGGAGCTGGAAATACAATAATCGGATAATTGCGAACCGCAAATGAAAAGTCTTCTTTTATTTGCTTTAATTTAGCTTTGTATTGTTTAAATTTAATAATTTATGAATTGTTGTTATTTGTGCAATGGGTTTTTTAATTGCGATAAAAATGAATATTTTTTTCTATTTATTGCCGCTCGAGCTTCCGTGTGGCGTGACACAACAAAGTGAACAGTATAGTCGCGCGATTAAACAATCGTGTTCTCGCCACTCAAAATGTTTAAAGAACTTAAAGCCGCGGCAATGGTGTGTATAACAAGGTCTCGTGAGTAAACGAGATCGGCGGCCGGACGGACTCATTATCGCCGCTAGATGCTCAATCGAATTCGCAAGTTTAACGTAGTTTAACCCATTAACGGGGCACAAGAGTGCGAGAGAGAATTAAAGGTTTAAATTTTATTGTTTTCACGTAGCGCGCGTCCATTTATCATTGCTTCGCGCAATTTCACCGCCGTCGCGTCGTACGTCATATTTGTGCACGTCAATATTTATTTGATAAGATCAACGCCGGTTAACAATTGTAAATCTTTGCAAATGTTAGCGCACAGATGCGTTTTATGCGCTGGAAGAAAAACGTCGCGTTATCACTGTGAGACGTTGAATTTATTAAAGCCGGTTACACGCGCGGATTAAGAGCCTTTGCTCGTCGGACGAGCGACACATTCAAATCAAAATGACCTCGTTATTTTATTCGATATTACAAAATTCTATAATGTATAAATATACAAATTTTATGTTTTATCAATGTAAATGTATTTGTAATTTGTCAATTAAACTCGTTTTATCGTAAGAAAATATTTTGGTAAAATAAAAAAGATCAAAGAGCTCTTGTATGAACATAATTGCGAAACAAATGCGATGCGCAAATGAAGCGATTTAACAATTAAATTCAAAATTGTTGAAGCTACGTTTGCATATTGCGCTCACGATTTGCGCCGCAACAAAACATTATTGATATATACACTTTATGTATGCTGCAGCAAAATACACATTGTGCAACAATACAATTGCGCGAATCAAGAAATACTCGTTGTACGATACATGGGATGGTATATGTATTTGCGTTACGCGTATTTGCGACAATTTTATCCAAACGCGATATATATTCGTTATTTGTCGGTGTTTTGTACAAATTTCTATATCTCGTCTCAATGCAACAATACAGACAAAAATACAAATACAAACAAAATAAAAACGGCAGCGTTGATCACAACAATTTAATGCATAATGCGTGTAACATCGCGCGTCAAACTCGCACGAATACACGCAAAGTTGGAATCGGAATTGAATAAGATCGTTTCCGTTTGTCGATGTGATCGTGGATAATGCTAAGTAAGTGTAACAACTGCAGGTGACGGGCGCGATCCTATCGACAAAACGCTGTTGCGGTAAGCACGATCACCTTGTAATTATTTAAGTCGAATAAAGAAAGTGATTTTTATGAGAAGCGCGAGCAAATGAACGCTCTCGTTCATTAAACCGCGCTTTTCCACCTATATCGTACCGCGTTAATACATTTGTTTATACAAACTGCTCGCTATTTTTAACAGCCAAACGCGAATTGGCAGTACTTTGAGATCTCGCGACGTGGACGCTTTTGAATTTATTTTCCGAATGCACTTGTGTGTAATGCGTATATTATTGTCTTACCAATAGAACAAAGAAAATAATATCGATATAATATTTAATTTGCAATTGGATGTTGCAAATTGATATTTATGTTAAGAACAAAATCGAACGACAACAACTTTTATAAGAAAATATTAATTGATTAACGATGTAAAAGACGTCAGATATGAAATTACTTTTTTTGTGAGAGTTGAAATACTTTACGTTACGCGCAAATTATTTTAAATCTGTATTTTGTTTTTAAATTAAATGAAAGAAAATTAATTTTATTGAGAGAGATATATGTAATTAAGATATTCACTTTGATGAAAAAAGCAAAATAGAATATAAATATAAATACATATTGTATATGATAAAATATATAATGTTTACATTAATACATATTATAATTATTATAAAATATATTACTACAAAATACATAATATTATTATTAATTTATTAGTAAATAATTCGTTATTTATGCACAATTAAATTGGCAGTAGCTCGAATTGGTCTCAAGAAATATTAAACTTGAATTTGAAAAAGAAAAAAATCTCTCAGTGCGATAATACCTTGCTATTATCAGCTGCGAATTCGGGTAGTGGTAGATTATATATTCTTCTTTTTAAATTTTTTACACACAAACTTCATTGTTGTCTTGCTTTCATATCGATGCGCGCACAGACATCAACGAAGACACTCCGCATCTCTCGTATCATCCCGCAAGAAATTTCTCATCGACGCGACTAATGTTCGCTAATATTACTCTCGTCCGCGATAATCGCTTCAGCTGCGAACACAAATCGTATTATAAATGAACACAAACAAAAAGTCGCACGAAGATAATTTCAACAGGTAAGTGCGATTTTTAATCGTTTGTGGAAATGAAACGAGCAAGAAAGAAGGAAAAACGCCGAAAATCGGAATTTTAAGATAAAAAACACAGGAGGCTTAATCGTTACGCGGTGATTTTTTTTACGAGTTTTTTCTGGGAAACTACTCTTCAGAAAACTTGTCAATCATTTATTACGTATATATGCATCAAAGTCCTCGCGCGCACGTGCTCCAAACACGTTGTGCGTCCAAGACAGATCGAATCGAGAGAGAAGTCGCCGAGATTGTGTTGTTGATGATGACGCACCGCCGCAGCTTTTTTCACGCCCGAGACACACTGAGATGATTTTCGTCCGCGCCTTCGCATTTATAGCAGCGCGGCAAAAGCAGCGGACGAATCCTCATGAAACGCACCGCACCTCGTCATTGCTCGCGCGAAGCGCCCTTCCCGGATCCACCCCGGTTGCTTCGCCTCTCTCTTTTTCTCTCTTTTTCCAAGAAAGAGAGAGAGAGAGAGAGAGAGAGAGAGAGAGAAAGAGAGAGAGAGAGAAAAGAAGCAAGAATATGCGACTGATATTTTTCTCCAATTACTCCGCGCAGATTTATTCTGTAAAATAAATAATTTATTTTTATCGATGTAACGACAACACGGATCTTGATTTTTTTTATTGCTAGAAAATAATTAGAATCGCGACGATTGTCAGATGCGCGCGAACGTGACTTAATGTTACACACACACACACACACACACACACATATTATGTAGACAAAGGGTAAAATATTACTTAAACATCGCGAAATATGCAATTTCATTCTCAAGTTTGCGGTTTGGAGATTGCGATCTGTGCGAGACTTGTCGACATTTCGCGTCGTGATACTAAATAGAATTTCCCAGCAGAAAGAATTCTCCGTTTTTTTGTGCACCGTCATTGTATAGATCCTATTGTTGATGAGTGATAAGTCTAATTCGACTCGGCAATAAATGTCACCCGATTCGTGCTCGCGAGTTAACATACTTTTCTGGGGAGAGATAGTATTAACGGGATGAACGACGGATACGAACGCGATTTCAACATCTGCAAGTAAATCTTATGTAAAAATGATTATAAAGAAAAAACAGTCATGATAAAAAATCGCTAAAAACATCAAAAACTTAGACAGAGTTATTTGATACAAATTTGTATTTGAAAGTTTTGAGAGATGAAGAAGCTCATCTCTTTAAAAGTCATTTTTTTGCCTAGTCCAAGTTCCACGACCGCATTTTACCAGTAAAAGGTGTCATTACATTATTTATTCATAACGGTCGCTAAAATGATTTTAAGTTTTTGATTTTTATAAAGAATAATGAGCATATAAATAATGCTTAAATTATGTATTTATCGTCGCGATTTTCTATTCCCTGACCTGTATTAATGCAAGAGGCAAGAGAAGGGACGAATGCTGATTTTTGTTGTATAATTTTGACACTCGCATTAATGGCTCATTTTTTCTCATATTACATATATACATATATATAATTCTTTCAACTTCATTTTTATCAATGTGAATAAAAAAAATTTGATCTCTGCATTTTCAAATAAAAGTCATATTGTACAACAAACGAGCAAATAAAGAACAAAAGTGGCTTCGAATCTGTGTTGGTTTATCTTTAAATCATGGATGTTTCATCTACACTAGTACATAAGATATTATTCTTATCAGCAAAGAGGCCTAGAAATTACATTGGAGTGCAACAACGCTGCCGGCAGTCGCGATGACTTCGAGGTCCTTTTTTCACTAGCTCGTTATCTTTACGCGATCGTCACGTCGCTGCGATAGGCATCCAGGCGATTACGATCGCGGCGCAAGTTTAAGCACGACAAGTGCACATCTAGTCACGGCTAGACTCCAACTTGGCCTCCTTAGTGATTGCAAAGTCTTGCATTAGCAATAAAAAGTTAACGTTACTGACAATAAGAGCAACTCAACTGTCCCTGACTGGCAACAGTACTTGCGAAAACGCCAAGATCGTCCTATTCCCAGCTCTTCTCGAGCGAAAACTCGATAAGCTATCGTAAAATAACACATTACTTATTGCTAAACAAAATACAGCTACCATTTATCATTTTTTGCACTCTAAAGCTACGAATTTTTTTATATTACAAAAATTAACATACACATGTGAAATTTCTTTTTATATTATATGTATATACATGTATGTGTGTATATATATATATATATATATATATATATATGTATAATTTTACTTCTACTTCTTCTAAGAGATAAAAATATTTACTTTCTTACGCGTATTATTACGATATGTGTATTTGATGGAAAATATACATATCTAAATTTGAATATTCTTGAATATTCACAGAGAAGAAAAGAGAAGAGACATTGATAGACATTAAATATGACATATGACACTCTTTAATTTTCTTATAAATGTTTTTGCTACCTGTGTTCTAAATAACAGTAAAATTTACGATCTGCGTAGTAACCTAAATTCACAAATCACTAACGTTTCGTATACTAACAAGATACGAAAAACATCTTGCTTGAGAGCGAAGAGTTTCTTGACATAAAGAAGCACGTGAAACATGTTAATTGAAGCGAAAGTTGAAAGTGAAATTTGTAACACGTAACACATAAAAAAATTGTTTAAAAATATCTAGGCGTTATGAAAAAGTTCATTTTTTTACTTATATAATACACATATCTACTTATTTCGTACAGTATGATCTTTCTCGATAAAGAATCATCGTAATTTTTTTGCAATTTTTACGGATGATTTATAATGTCACATGACACGCAGGAATAATTTGCGAGTGGATCGGTTTATCATATGTCGAATCGATAGAGCTATAATCTACGGATATCGCAAGCATCCACATAAGCGTCCTATAACGTGCGAATTGATCCGTCCGATTAATTTTTACCTATTTCTCATTCGCGCAACATATGATTAACAATTTGATTTGCATATACGATAGTTCGTTGTAGGCGCTAAACACAGTTGTGTCATCGCATGTCGATGTCGCTTTATAATATAAATATGAAATAACACACAGTCGAGCCGCTATATAAATATATATTGCAACAATGTACGATTAATAAATAACACATGATAATGCACGAAATACGACATATGTTACACGAACCTGTCAAAAGATTTTGTAAAGTCAAATATAAGACCATTGACATTATAAGTTTTTGTTTTTTATATCTTCTCATGTTTTCGATAAATCTTGTGTATTTTGATCGAGAAATTTCATTTAAAAAAAGAGCATCAAGAAGAACAGCCAAAACAAATCGATGCTATACGCTCGAAGGTCTTTCGACTAGTTGATCTAAACGATGAACGAACAAAAGTCTCGATCAGGTGAAATCAAGGTGACTCTCGCAGCTCACCTCAGGAACTATCTCCGTGACAAATGGCTTTTATGCAAATCGAGCGCGATCACTTCCGTTTCCGATTTACAATAACCTTCCACGTAGCCCAACAGAGCACACTTTGAATATTTCCCAACGATTAAGAAAACCATCTACGGAAGACGTATACAGACATCTTAAAAAAAACATCGATTGCGACTTTGACATGAATTGCGACTAGAAAGAATTGTATTTTAAGTATTTGTTTGTGTCAGAGATAAAAACCCGGAGTGAATCTTCTGTCGATTTCATTATTCATGCTGTCATACTTTTCTTACTTTCTGCCTTGGAAGATCGGATTTGATTTTTACATTAGTCTATGTTTTTTGATAAAGTCGTAGGTTTTTTTACGTGTATCATTGTTAATTGCAACACAATTAATCTTTATTCATTGATTGTAAATATATCCGCAACAATAATTATACTTTGTGATTCGCGATCATCACGCTTTTGATTGTGTTTACAAATTTCTTAAGATACTTAGTTTTTTTTACTATATTTTTGACGATGTTATCAAGTGTACAAACAAGCGCGTTAGATAACAATTATGAGGCGATGGCGCCGATAGAAGATATTCGGTATAATATACGGAAATCAACAATATCGCGATATCATTAATGTAATTCTCATGTATCACGCGACGACGATGACGATCGACGTTACAATTGAAGCTACTATATTCCGATCGCCGTCCGATAATCGATCATAAAGCGCAATTATTAATTTTAGATATCGTTGTGTTATCGCGCTTATTGCTTAGCTTGTAATTGACGCAATTCGCGAATAAGAAGATACTAATGACAGATAAAAAAAAAAAAAAAAAAAAAAAAAAACAATTTTGCGAAGCTGTGCCATTAAATTAAGCGATCTCTCTTGTGCCGAAGCAATTGCATAAGAAGGCACATAAGAAACGAAACGTTTTTATTCCACACGTTGATTGTTCGGCGAATAATGACCGACTTCAGTGCAAACGCTCTTTCGGTCGTAGTGGAAAATACACTCGCGTCACCGGAAGATCACCGAAGAGAGATCATATAAAACGCCGCCGCGACTCTTCGTGATTGCTGATGCGATGTGTGTATCATGTTTCGCTAGATCCTCTACGTGCCTCGTTACGTAACAGTGACATAATAACGGGGCGCGAAATGCAACAGTCGAACAATAAGATTGTACTACGCGATGCTGTAATTGCGTTTGAATATCTTTTCGAAACAGTCGGAGATTCCGGAGTGCCGTAATTTTTCGCTTCGAGACGAGCTTTTAATCGCGCGGTTGAAGATGCGCGCTTTGAAATCATTACTACAACCATCTCGCAGATACGATCTCGCGTGCAATGGACTTTAGAAATTTCTCGCAACACAGTTTTTGCGACACATTTGCACACATAACGATCGCGATTACGTAATTGCCATAATTGTTATAATTTGCGTTCATGTAACAACAGGTTTGTCGGATTTGATTTACATAGAGAAAAAAAATCATCGACAAGAAATTTTAATTTTCTCGCAATGCAATTGGTTGAAGTTTTTATTGATCGATAAGCCGAAGAAAACCGATCTTGTACGCACAGCTTTGCGCGATAGTCGTTCCGATCTGTCTTACTCTCAGTGAATTTCTTGACGTTCAGAATTTGGCTAAACTTGTTACAAAACAACGGAAATTTACTTATCTAAAGAATTTATGTAATCAAACTAATATTTTATTTTTAGCATTTTTTTTATCTTGGAGAGATGCTCATGTTTCGACTCTTCACAAACTTTTTCTTGTGCTTTATTATACCATAATGCAATTACATGTATGTCGACGACAATGATGTTGCGGAGTCATTTCGCAGATGTGACGAATTGCGACGAGCTCTAGTAAAAGCGCGGCCGACCTCGTGCAAACTTTCGCCGCGAGTTCGGTCAAGCGTTTAGCGAAATTAATAGACTGCGAATCTCGAGCGAGAAGATGAAGCGGAAGCGTCGAGAGTAAGAAAAGGAATGGAAAGTTCCAAACGTTATGTCACGAATCGTCGCGTGCTGTAACGTATGTAATTGATTTGCTCTTTTCGAAGATTGCGATTGTTTTTGCAAACATCACGACGTATGTTATTTCGTCTTTGATGGTTTTGTCAAAGTCAAACAAATCAAAGCGTCACGACGCAAAAAACAACGATCTCTCACGCAACACTACCTGCTTAATCGTGTCTCTCTCTCTCTCTCTCTCTCTCTCCCCCAGGTAATAATTGCATAAAAGACTTCGACATGCAAAATGTTGAATTGCGTATGTCAGCAGAATGTTGTTGCATTAAGTTTCTATTTGAACAAAGCAACTATTCCGATAAATTTTTTTAGTTTGCTTTTTTATACATATCCGTTTGTTAAAAAAATACTAAGTATTAATATGCGGCTTAAATGTGATTTCTCGATGTCAGTTTTATAAGTGCATTTTCCCATTCTAATTTTTACCAAATAAATCCAACTAAAATTTTATTTTAATTGATAGAAAATGTACTTACATTCTGAAACAAAACAAAACCTTGATTTATTGTTCTATATTATAATGCTATAATTAAATTAAGAATCTTCGGCTAGAAGACAAGAAACAATATCACTCGCGTCGCGACAATTACGGCTGGACGGTAACATATCATTTGTTGTTTCCGTTATTTTACAAATATCATATCAATTATGTGTGTTTGTCTACGTTAAATAAGAGCAAAATAACATGCGATTGGCGTCACAAAGTCACGTGTTGACTGCGTGTTGACAAAGTTAGTACATATACACGTGTGACCGTGATTGTTGAATATTTTCATTATTATTATGCGACGCGGATTTATTATATAAAGATTTAAAGATTGTATCCAACGCGAATTAAACACAGACAAACGCGTCGAATGTAAATGCCGACGCAAGCTGGTTGCGTGCGTATTTGTGCGCGAGACACACATATTATGCAAGATGAAGACGACCTTGGCAATGACCATCACGGGTTACGTCGTCGTCGGTCATCAACGACGATCGTGGTGTCGTTAACGCGTCGACAGGATAATCGCACTAATTCCACAAGAGTTGCAAAAGAAATGAGCGCGGAGTTACGTGTGAAAAACAGAGACAGCGTATATGAATAAGTTCTTCTTCTTAATGTCCTAATTGTCTCTGATGATATCAATTACAGAGTAACGAATCGATACAAGAACCTTCCACATGGAAGTGTTGACCACTATTGTTAATTGTTTCTTTGTAACATAATTACAGAGCAATGAATTTACATACGCGTGGAATTGTTGATCGGCGCGAGAACAATCGATCTCTTCTTCGCGATAATATATATGAACACTCCTATTTTTTGGAACACTTTGGTCCGATCTTTTGGTTAAATCGATTTGGTAAGATGGTTAAGTTATTTAACAAGAAAAACTTTGAAGTATCTTCCAAATTTACTAAAAACAAAAAAAATAGTCACGTTCAATTAAATAAACCCCAAAGTGCTATCAGGTTTGGAATATCTGTATATTCGAGTATTGAAAATTTGTAAATCCTTTTTAATCTGATAAAACTTTGATATTTTCCGAACAAAAATGCATGTCGCAATTTTGAATCAAAGAATTTTTAACTTCTAAGACTCTAGGATGCAAGTGCGTATACAATTCTGAAACAATATAGATACTTGCAACATATTGTTGTACTTTGTTACTAATAAGAGCGCCTTATTCGTAAAAATCATAATGACGCAACATGATATTATACAATATATTGTGCTGAAATCAGAAAATATAGTCGCAATACGATAGCGCAGATAGAGATTATTGTTAATCAGAAAACAAGAAGCAAAAACGTCCGATATACTCGCCGAAATGGTTAACGTGACAGTAATCGATGAAAAAAGAGAGGCAGAAATAATTGCGTTAACATCGTGCCAAAAAAAAGTCATTTATCCAATCGACTTCGCACGGACAAAGTTCTCGATTATTAAATCAACGCGAAAATGATCGTAAGAAACGATTGTCGGGCTAATTACTGACATTTCTGAGAATACTTTATTCAATGGCGATATTGCTCCCTAGCCTTTCTAGCGTGAAAAGTTTAGTTTGTTTTGAGCAGAACACATATACGAATTGATACAGGGCGCAGGAATAATTTTCTTTTATAACTCACTTTTTCTGAAGTAATGAAAATCTCATAGTTTTGAATTTGTATAATTTTGTATAGAAAAGTAGTATACAGGCCTAAAATAATTTCAAAATAAATAAATTAAACGTAATACTGTGTAATTTTCAACAACAGATTGTTTGTTGTAGAAAAAATCAATGTACATTAGAAGAAAAATCTTGTTTTGTAAAAAGAAATTACTTTTATTTATCTTGAAGAAAATTCCTCAAAAGTGTTCAATTCACACTTTATTAACTATATAACTATACACACACACACACACACACACATATATATATATGTATATGTGTTAACAAATTTATGTGTGTGAGACAGCGCACAACTTATACAGAATATAGTACAATTAAAGATTTATGTAGAATATACACACAAGCCATACATGAAACTAACCTGATAGAGTAAAACTTTTCCAGCTCCTCTAAAACTTTCAAGTAAAAGCCAATCAGGATGAGGAAAATGAGGATTTTATTTGTTTTCATAGGGCAACTTATCTAAAGATTCCCTATATATGTACAAATATTTGGAACCAGAGAATTCTTTGAAGTAAGGACCTCTATAATCATGCTTTTCGTTCATCACATCGCGCACTTGCTGTTCAAGAAGCCTGACTTTTCTAACTTCATTTTCATGATGTACAAAATGTAGCATCTTTTCGTACTCTTCCTGTGGCGATGGAAAAAAGTAACGTTGTAAAAATCTCTTAATAGGATGCTGAAAGCAAGAAAAAATATAACATTTTTGTATGAAAACAACTATTGTACTTATTTTTTACAAGTAATCTTACATATTTACAGTATAACAATATTTTTATTCTTTTTTATATAAAAACACTGCTATATTGGTGGAATGAGAATATCTTACTTGATAATACTCCCATTCTTTTGGGACATAACCTTCAGGAATTTCTTGAAGTGTAGCAGGACCGATAAACACATTGACTAAAGTGATTGCAATGCCAATAGGAATAGCACCAAGTAGAAAGTAAAAGTGGATCCAATTTTTCACTAGATGCCATTGATAACGGCTGGGTTGTATATGCATCACACGATCTTCTCCTGACATGCATCTTGTTTGTTCTGAAACAACAAAAATGCTAAGAAATCTTCAATTTGTAAAGCACTGTCTCCGATGCTAGTACACAAATGAAAAACAGTTCTGCAAAAGTATTCGAAATAGTCAGTATGTGTGTGTGTATCGATATCTTTATTAATATAATTCTGCAAATATATATAAATGTAGATTCTTTATAACTGAATTAGAAATATCTATATATAAAATGTTGTAACAAATAATCTCATTGTTTATTTGTACATTTAAACATTATATAAAACTGTATAAATGATAATATTGTTGAAAAATTTTGATATAAGATTATGCCAGAAATAGATATTGACATATACATAACAAATTTTAGTTTCTATTTTAGTTTCTTTATATATCACACACAGTTACACGAAACTAGAAATATAATGATTTCCTTATTTCACAATTGTTCCTGTATATGTAAAGTTAGGTCTTAGCTCGTGACACATGAAAATGTAATAAAGTTATTGTCGTTGTTGCGTAACAAGACACTGTCGGGTTTTGCAATAATGTATTGTTTCGACCAAAAAGCACATGTCTTATGTCGCTGTCAAGATAGAACGTTAAAAATTACCGTTTCTCAACAATGCCGTTCTAAAACCGGCGATTTGCAAGAATTTCTGGCTTGTGCCACGAAAAATGCTACTCCACGCTGCCATTTTTGCTCCGATACGAAGAGATACAAGCCGAGCAAATCCTGTGTAGCAAAATTGTAGTTAACTGTTTTATCAATAGTTTTCTGTTTTATCAACAGTTGCAAACAAAAAATTACGTGTTTCACGACTAGTTGAAACTACATCAACGGATGATCAGATGGCAGCACGACACTTTGTTTTTTTTTTTTCACAATGCGAGATAACAAAGATTAACAAAAGATTTTTAGTAATTTTTAAAATTGAAAATACTAAAGAAAAGAATTCTTTACTATTATCTAGTTATTTGTAATAAATAACAGTACAGAAATAAAATTTTATGAACTTTTTGTATTTATTTTGATTTAAATATATCTATTCTGCATAACAATCTATTTTTGGCTCGTATATTTGTTTATCTTAATTTTATTAATTTGAAATTATTTACTCAAGTCCAAAACAAAACTTACATTGATAATACAAAGTAAATAAATAAATTTTCGTATTTATATATTTTGATCGTATAATTTCTTTTTGTTTGTTTATTTCTGATTGCATTTACAATCCAAAGTTTTAAATGTAAGAGGAAAATTTTTTTCATGTTTTTTGTCGAGGTTTACACGACAATCGTTTCAGTGAGTCGACAATTGCTTTGTGACAACGCAGTGTGTCTCTTACGCGTTCGCATCAACGGTAATCCGCAATAATATAAACGGCGATCGTAGAACGTCGTTAAATTAAGCCGTGTCAAGTGAGCAATTGAACTTGAGAAACGATTGTAAATTACAGACACCCGGTTCTCGTGACAGAATTCGAGTAAATTCTGAATGATGACACGGATGATTCTAGCAACGCGGATGATTTTTGTCCGCATTTTCGTTTTCTCGAACTCTTTTATTTCTATGCAAAAAATAAGCGCAAAATACACATTAACGCTCTGTAACAGTCACGCATAGTGTTTTTAGACTATTGAAAAAGATAATCGAAATACGTTACGTCGATTAATTAGTGAGGACCGTATTATTCTTTGCGTGTTGTAATTTGAAAACCGATTGATCTGAAAAAAAAAAAAAAAAAAAAAAAAAAGAAAGAAATTTGCTTACCCATTTTAGCCAAGAACAAGTTGTTATGCCAGAATATTCAAATCAAAATGTCCGTTGCGACTTTATTTTTAAATCATCTTCACAGCTGGTATGTCGAAATATAAAAAAAAAAAAAAAAAAGAAAGAAATTTGCTTACCCATTTTAGCCAAGAACAAGTTGTTATGCCAGAATATTCAAATCAAAATGTCCGTTGCGACTTTATTTTTAAATCATCTTCACAGCTGGTATGTCGAAATATGAATGTCTGCGAAGGTGAAAGCATGTTTCCTTATGTTTGATATATCTGCGCGTATTGTGAATTGACTTCGTAATTTCGTCCTCAGAGACATGTTTTTATTTAACCTTTTTCACATAATATATTTGAAATAGCTGAAGATGATTAAAACATGAAATTAAAACTAGATATTTTTTATTTAAATGTATATTCATTCTGCATAACACAATCTATTCTTGTCTTAATCTTATTAATTTCAAGTTACCTTATATATCAAACCCGCGAAACAAAACTTACATTAATAATAGAATTTTATTTTATTTTTGTTTATTATTTCCAGTTTATCTGTGTGTGAGGAGGAAAGAAGAGAAAAGGGAAAAATTTGACTTGCAAATACAATTCTTTAACTAATCGCGTCACACATAATTTTAAACTAATCGCGTCACTCGTGAGACTGAATTGTTATAAACAACTATATGTTGCTCACAATTCAAACAAACATTACTTTTCTGAAATTTACAAGTCAAAAAAGATTCTTTCGCCACATTAATGTTTTGCATTTGACCGAATAATTAGTACATTCTGGTTTTTTCTCTAAAAGTATGGATCACAAAAAGTGTTCATGAAAGGAAAAACAAAAAACAAGGAACGACTACAAAAGTCTTACAATTAGACTAGAGCGAAACAATCCTAATGATAGAACTCCTGTAATTTTTCTTCATTCTATTTTAAGCCATTTTTTTTTTCTACACACGTTAAATAGCAAGATACCTCGTATACGAATATACATAAAGATCCATTTGGAAAAAACCGACAACGAAGCATTACCAACCTCCTAGAATCAACTACATTGGTAACGTGTGTTGTAACGGTGCGTAACGCAGGACAAGAGAGCTGGAGCCAGGAACGAATGTAGGGGAACAAGGCGACGAGGTTTTCAGGTTCAGTCGTCTACCGACCGTGGTGTCGAGCAGAGAAAGACGGAGAGTGTGTGTGTGTGTGAGGTGTGTTTGGCGGTCGATTTCGGATCGTGCAAGACGCGTCGTCGAATCCAGTCAAGCCGACGACGCTCTTCACTCCATTAAATATTGGGAAGGATCTCCGCTTCTTTTGCTCTTATCAGTTTTTCCGTTTGCTCGATCTGTTCTCTCGCTCTTGTTCTGACTATTTGTGAGCACTCGTAGCGTTCGGCCGACGAGACATCGATTCTTTGAGCAGGAGCCAGAAAGCCGCGAAAGGTGAGTGCTCTATCAAACAGGACTGGATAAAGGCGTAACTTTGACAATTTACATCACAAATAAAAGATAGAGATAGATAAATGTGAGAGAGAAAAAGAAAGAGAAATAAAATACTTAAGAAAATTTTATTTTTAAGCAAAGCAAAGTTTTATTTGCTGTAAAAGTAAAAGTATTTGTTATTTCACACATAGCATCAAATAATAATGAATAATATATGTAAATAATAGTGAAATCTAAATAATATTGAAAAATATATTTTAATTTTAATTTTTATTCTTTATTTTATCACACGAGAGATGGAAAAAATATTCAAGGTTTCGAGCAGCACATATAAATTTGCTGTTGTCAGATTCATCAGTTTTCTCTTACGTTTTATCTAATGGCAAATAACTTGAGTTTCAGAGAAAATAATTATTCAAAAAAAATATATATATTTCCGAAAAAATAATAGCTATGTATCTCTGACGAAAAAAAAGAAAACGAATGGAACTGAAAGGGACGGATCTACTGACAACAACTTGATAGATTGTTAGTTTATTTACCGTCAGTCTCTCGTGATGCTGCATTAGGGCGTTGATCCGCTTCAAATCGATCGATTTTTCTGACTTGTAAACATACCGTCTGTGCGAAAGTAGAAGAAAAAATCATTTAAATTAGTCCGAATCGTCGAGTATTAAGTCAGCCTATAAATTCTGTTTATTTATAAAATATGCATTTGTTTATACTGTGAAATTAACGTAAAATTAATATGTAAGATTATTATTCCAGTCTAGCCTGGAAAGACTATCGCGAAGTTGTGACAGAATAAGAATATTGCAAACAATCGCACAAAGTTAAGTAAGAAAAATGCAATAATACATATGTTTATCACAGTGACTCACAAACGATTAGAAACAGGTAGAATGTTATCGAATTTGCGTGGCTTATCGAGGAAGAAGTTCAATTGCTGCGATACAGAGAGACATATTTACCAAATTACGAATCTCAATGTAATATCACGACGGACTGTCGGTATACGCACACGTAAACTTCTCGCTATGTTTACATTATTAGATATAATACAATCGATGTACTTTCAATGAAAGAACTCGGACGATAAAACTTTCTTTTTTGCAAATGCAAAAGCGTATTTGTCCACATCTTAGTACAGTCAGATAATTAAGAAGAAATTTTGTCGCACATAACGAGAACGCTTATTATTATAATTTTTACTCCGCGAAACATTAACACACTATTGTTTACCTACTATTGGTAAAAAATGAAAAACCAACATACTAGCTTCTGAGAATTAATCTCAATCCATAAAAATTCATAAAAATGTGTGAAAACAGACCAATTGAATAGGCCAAAAACACGCTTTCGGCTTCGATCGGCCTATTTTCACTTTTTTTTTTTTTTTTTTTTT